ATTTACCTTTGACAGCTCTGAAAGTGCGAGAGCAAGCTCACCAATCTTCTTATGATAATTAGACTCTCCTTTTCGTTTTAGCACCTCAGTTTTATGAACAACTCTGCAGTTTGACAACTCCTCCATCTTATTGATATGATATAAACAGCCTCCCTTTCTTTGAGCACATCAGTTTCTCGAATAGAGAGCTCTTAAATTTGGTTTCTTTATCAAATAGTCTCTCATTCACTGCTGAAAGCTCTTCAATCTTCTCCAGACAAGCAAGCTCTTCTCTTCTAAGCTCCTCAGCTTCTTAAACAATGCTCAACAGTTTGGTTTCTTCGTCGCTGACAACTCTTTTATCTTCTTGAGATAACCAATCTCCCTCCATCTGAGTTACTTGAATAGAGAGAAAGAAAACTTCCACTTCGCTGAGTTTTCTTTTTTCTGCAGCAGCGTTATTTAGCTCGTCTTCCTTCTCCAACAAGCTTTCTTTAAGTTTCATGCTTTCAGCTCTCGCTTCTCCACATCTTTTCCTGCAGATCCTTAACCACATCTTACAAGTTCTTTAAGATTCTTTTTAGTACTGGCTTCTTCTTTCTCTTCTTTTTCTTTTTCTCCTCCGACAATTTCTTTCTCTTCCTATTCTCCCTTCACACACAGCTTTTCATCTTCTGATTTCTTCACATAAATCATCAAATGAAGATCTCCTTGTTCCCACTTGACCTTCGAACTGACTATCTCAAGCTGGGTGTTTTCAAAACCACTTTGCAGGCTATCAATTCGTTTCTTGCATCTCGAATCCTCTTTACATACTTACTCTCATTTGTCTCGTACGTAGCCAATTCCAAACTTTCAGTTTGGTTTCCACAATGTTCAAGCTCCGCTTGACCTGTCAAAAGCTTCTCCTTAGCTTTCTTGCTTTTCTCCTTTTTATACTCTTTGTCTCAAGCCCAACAAGACAAAAGACTTAAGCAGAACACTGAATCCTCCCTCCATTCGGACATTGTACTTTCGAGCAGACAATTGAATCACCCAATCCAACATCATTTAGGCAACCTTTCTCAAGAACATTTACTCCTCAATCAATATGCAGAGCATTGAATTCCCAGTCGGACTATCTTTCAAAGAAGTAATTTTACTCCATGATGCAGAGATATTGAATATCATGAACTCTCCATTAGGACATTGTACTTTTGAGCAGACACTTGAATCACCCAATCCAACATCATTAGACACGCTTTCCTCCCTCAAGAACATTTTACTCTCAATCAATATGCAGATCGAGCATTGAATTAAGCAGACTATTGAATTCCCAATGGGACTAGATTTTAACTCCATGATGCAGAGATATTGAATCTCATGAACTGAATCACCCAATCCAACATCATTAGACAAGCTTTCTTGTTCATCAAGAACATTTCCTCTTAATCAACACACAAAGCATTGAGTTAAGCAGATATTATCGAATTCTCCCGTCGGACTATCACTTAAAGAAGCAATTTTGCTCCATTGAGCTTCTCATGATCTTCGAAAATTTCATTCTTCAGCTCATTCCCTTTTTTCAACCAAATTATTCCCTTCATTATCCATCAGACAACTCCTGCATTTGTCTTAAGAGATGAGTTTAAGCCTCTTTTGGATTTGGCAAACGACACCAAAGAGTGTAACAAGTCGCTCTCTTTCACGAGCAAGCTTTTCTTTAGATTTGGTAGCTCTTCAATCTTCTTTTGGGCTAGAGATTCCTTGGCTTTCGAGTTCCTCAAGGACCATACACCATCAAAGCTCCTTTTCTTTATCAATGGCTTTCGTTAAGTTTCATACTCGCAGATTTCGCTTCTCCACCTCTTCCGTTAATCTCCTCTCCTCCTCAATTCCTATGATTAAGCAACTTCTATCAAGAAAGTGACGGAATGTGAAGGAATATAAGGCTCCGGTTGTGAAGAAATCGTTGGAGCTCTATTAGGTTATGACGGCTCTTTATCCTGCAAAATTGCGAATAATCACAAGATTAGAAAAAAAAGATTTATCAAAAATCCCTGCTTTCAACATATTTGATTCTACGCACAGATAACCACAATTCTATGATATCTAAACATAATAGTCGTCGACGCAAGAAGTTTTTACTTCCTTCCGCTTATTTTTTTTTTTTTCGCAATCGAGAGGTTTGCAATCTCTGATTTCTCTTCTCACAATCAGAAATCAGTAAACCCACATCACCCAGCGAAATTGAGACCAAATTCCGAAATCCAATCCACAGATAACGAAACCCTATGATAAACCACAAACAAAAAAGAGAGCAAAGAAACTCACGAGAAGGACTCGAACCAGAGATCCGCTCGGCGAGCCTCATCTTTCCAGACTTCCGTTTCTCCCTTAACGAAATCAAACCATCTCGGGGCAAAGAACTCATACGTCGTCACAGCACTACCGGTTGATTCCTCTGCCGGAGCCGTTGTTTCTTGGTTCCTTCTTTTCAGAGGGAATGTGTTTGTAATCGGAATAAAGAAGGAGAAGAAGGATCTCACAAGTCACAACGGTCATAAAAAATTTGATTGCTCCCCGATTGGTTTCTTGTTAAATTGGGTTCCAATTAAGTATAGGCGGTATAGATAATGGGCCTCAAGCCCAACACACACATTTCGATTTTGGAGTTTTGCTTACGAATCATCGTTTTTTTAATTGAATAGATGGATTTAGTGAAACTCTTTAAGAAAAATAAAACGCTGAAATATAAAACAAACTAAAGTAGCTTACAATCTTACATGGCTATCACTTAGACACTTTCACAGTCATCTAACAATTATTTGAAACTGAATCGCCTTAAAAATATGTATCATTTCTAAGACAAACAATTTTCAATCTGTAGTGGCTATTGCGTGTAGAGCTGTCAAAGTGGACATCGGCCTATGGGCGAGCCCATTTTCAATATGGGCATATCCAACTTAGCCCATGAACAAATATGGACGGACATGTAGAATTCCATCTGCTTTCTTTGCTGATTGGTGGAAACAACCATTGCCTAAGAAGCAATATTCTCACTGATCTCGCTAATGTGATCCCAGAAGTGTAGGATTGCTTCCATCTGCTTCCCTTGGTGATTCAGTGCATACCATTAAAACCCACTTTTATGGGAGGCTCAAAACTTGTCTGAAGCAAATAACAGTGAACTGCCTCTATGTACTCCTGTTTCTCCAGCAACAAAAGACAACATGATGGCATGATGACAACCACGTAATTTTTTTCAATCTTTGTGTATTTCATGTATGTTTTCTTCTTTTTAAACAACTTCCATGTAAGGTTTCTTTTATAAACAGCTTTGCTTTATCTATAAAACATCTTAATCACAACATATCTTCTTATGTTTTTTGGGGTTTTAGTTTGAACACATTTCTTTAGCTTTACTGGGCATTTTATTTTGTTCTCATTACTTCATTTTTATTCTTTTATCTAAAAATAAAATTTTGTGATTACATTTAACATAAAATTGCGAGCCATACTAGTATAAAACATCTCCATGACGTCTCCGATTATCACGAAGGATGTTGAGAAGATGGTGATGCTGTTTTAGAGATTACGAAAAGAGCAATAAATTAAAATTTGGTCTGACTTTTCCAGTGATTCCCAATTCAACAGATCGACCAAAAAATAATGAAGAGACATATGGTGTGTCTTAACATATTTATAAATAAATAATTATCTCACTAATCCAAAGTTCTCAAATTTTGATTAACTCAAAGTTGACCACATTCCGTGCTATTGTTGACTAGTATTATTTGTTGAATCGTCAATCATATCTTTATACGGATAACTAGGTTACTGGATCGTTTTCATTAAAACCTTAAAAAATTTGATCAATGAACTCAATGATTCACAAAATGTTTCTACTTTTGACAACATCACAATTTCACTGGAAAAATATTTGGAATACTGTAGTTGAATATATATAGAGCATCTTAAAATCTTAAAAATTCATTTCCAAAATCAAAATAAATCAAAATAACTAATCCTATATCGTTAATTTTACTAAATTTAATTACAAAAATTATTTGATCGATAACCCATGATCACTACTAACTAGTAACTAGTGATCGAATAAGTAATCGAGACGAAAAAGAATATTTATATATATAATAAACTCATATATATCGTTAGTTTTTTTTTTGGTAAAAAGGCATACCATTTTAGTTTTACGTACCATTTTATATAGAGTAAGTATTAATGTATCTGCATAATCAACTTACACCTAACATTTTTTAAACAACCATGATCATTGCTCAAACGAGAGATATTTTGGATTGTAATAATGTAGATCGACTGTAAAGAGAGACACATCATCACCCACCACCACAGAATCACGAAACTCATATGAATGGCTCGAAACAATTCGATTGTCTTAGTTAAAAAACTGGCCACCCTCTTTAATTTAGTTTTAATTACTTCCACCTACTTCCTTCTCCTTGCATGCACACCAAGTCACCAAGGCAGCCACCCCCAAAATATTCCCACCATTTATTTTTGGTCCCACGCTGAAAACCAGTGTATGAACCATCGTTGGTCGATGCTAGCTTAGCCACCTGTTTTTCTCCCATCTCGTGACGATATTTTTTAGAAAAACATAATTTTAGCATGTATTCATCAAATACTCGTTATAATCATAATTAAAGTAACATAGTTTTAGCATGTATGCATCAATTTTTGTAAATTACGTACTAATTTTGACGATAAAAATGACAAATTGGCACTCATGATATATTGATAATTATGTGGAAAATTATATTTTAATTTATCTTTCGGGCCCGAAATTAAAAAGAAAGAAGAAGTCCATTTGTCTTTACCTGCCTGACTCTCTATATAAATATACGAGTCTTTGATCATCTTCATCATAACCAGACTCCAAGCTCGCCTTTGAGCCTGAGCTTGTCTTAGGATTCCTCCTCCTTCTTCTTGTCCTCCTCTACTCTTTGTCTCCATTCTAAAGCTTCTTTTTCCTTCTTTGTAAATCTTATAATCAACAAGAAATGGAAGCAAAATGGCTATTAATTACCTCGGCTTTTACTCAATTGTTCGGTTACTCAATCCAACTGGATCAAACCAGCAACTGCAAAAGCACCCGCAACAAAATAAAGATGATGAAGAAAGAGGAATTCCCAAGTGGGTTTCAAGTTCCTCTTCACTATCCTAAATTCTCCAAGTCTGATTATGAAGCTATGGATGATCTCAAGCTTGACTTGCTCCTCAAACAATATGGATTCTCCTTCGAAGGATCTCTTGATGAGAAGAGGGTATTTGCTATTGAATCATTTCTCTGGCCCGATCAGCTCTAGGGTTTATAGTATATGTTGTCGTTTAGATATCCCAAGATCCTAATCTCTCTTCACCAGTATCCTATCATCAGTGAGCCTAAGGTAATGAGATATTGTTTTAGAATTATGTCAAATATCCGTATATCAAGTTTGTCTCTTATGTGTATGTGTATGTGTATGGAGAAGTTTTGAAGCATATGCAATCTACACATGTATCATCAAATTCCATGAGTGCATAAATAACATCTTTGTTGTACTATATAACATCAGATTAAAACGTAATCTATTTACTTTTATTATCTAATTATATACTCACTCCGTTTCAAATTAGTTTGTCGTTTTGGCAAAATGTATCTCTAAATATTTGGACGTATCTGGACGTGTTTTCTAACCTGTCGAACATGGTTAAATTCATGATATATATACAATTAGAGTATTAGAAGTCAAAGATCACATTTTAATAATTCTGTACCACAGCTTAATTAATATCACACGGCTACAAGCCAAGAAGTCATCGGTACATGGCGTCATGCGTAATCTAGCATTGTAGTATTATACTCAATATCATTACGTTATCTCGATCGTAATTAATGATACAACTACCCGTTTTTAATTGTTGATTTGTTATTTAATAATGCTGCACCACAACTTAGCCAACTCATTTCCGTCCATGTCAAAATGTAAATAACTTCATATCGAAAGGGACTTCAACTTTTTAATATGTACACCTTCCAAGGTTAAGGTTAGAGTTATGACATTTGTAAATTCTAATAACCAGCCCAGACAGGCCAAAACTATATGGAAAAAAAAAAATGATAATTTAGAAACTGTTATTCGGAGACTGCTTTTGAAGAAAGCTAGAAGAGGTAAAAAGTTAGAAGAGGATTATTATTCAAAATTAATTAAATAAGGAAAGAGGGAAAAAGGAAAGTAGAAGTAAGCACCGAAGAGACTTGGCCAACAATGACAACATGTTATGAAGAACAACTGCGAGATCCGACCAAACCGCTCTTTCCGATCTTAATTCTGGGTAAGTCTCAGTTTCTTCACCTTCCCTTTGTTTCGGATTCTGTGTCTGAATATTCTTGTCGAATCTTCTATTTTTTCTGCTCGTATTACTCTGTAACTCAGAATCTGTTCCTAACTTCTGAGAATACTCTGTTCAAAATTCTCAACCTTTTGGCAAATTTGACAATCTGTATTTCGATTCGGAACATGATTCTACACAAACGATGTCGATTTTGGCGTAAAGTTTTGTATCCACTATAAAATTTGAAACGTTAAAATCTGTTTTCCTCGAATCATGTTCGTAATTTGACAATCGATGTAGCTTCTGCAGTTTCTGTTCTCTGTGAAATGATTTTGATGTCTGCAAATTTCGATTTGATCTGCAGATCTACAAGTTTACTACAAATCTCATAGTCGCGTGGTTTGATTTCTAAGAATGTCGAGTGCCGATTCAGCTCAAAAGCCATTGCTATCCAGAGAGCAATTAGACACCATGTCTCGAGACTTCAACCAAAACACAAGAACCACTTCAAGAAAACGAAAATTCCGTCGCTCTCGAAGCGCTCCTCGCGGTGAGTATATGCTCAACGACGACGATCTCAAAACCGACGACGTTCCACCTCCTAATCCAAGCACAATCCCAATGTTCAGGGACCTAAACCCACACCTCAGGCGAGTGATCATGTTCTTGGTCTTATATCTCGCCATCGGAACCTTCTGCTTCTACCAAGTGAGAGACCAGATCTCCGGCCACAAGACCAACGGCGTGTTAGACTCCATCTATTTCTGTGTTGTAACGATGACAACCGTTGGATACGGCGACCTTGTCCCTAACAGCTCTGCCTCGAGGCTACTCGCCTGCGCGTTCGTCTTCTCCGGGATGGTCCTCGTCGGTCACCTGTTGAGCCGAGCGGCGGATTATCTAGTGGAGAAGCAAGAGTCTTTGCTCGTGAGGGCTTTCCATTTGCGTCGGAGCTTTGGTCCGACAGATGTTCTAAAGGAGTTGCATACCAACAAGCTGAGGTACAAATGCTACGTGGCGTTTCTTGTCCTCGTGGTGCTCTTCCTCGTGGGTATAGTTTTCCTTGTGGTGTACGAGAAAATGCCGGTGGTCGATGCGTTCTACTGCGTCTGCTCCACGGTGACGACGTTGGGGTATGGAGATAAGAGCTTCAGCTCGAAAACGGGACGGCTTTTCGCTGTGTTTTGGATCTTGACGAGTACTATATGTTTGGCTCAGTTTTTCCTCTATGTAGCTGAGTTAAACGCAGAGAGCAAACAGAGGGAGTTGGTGAAATGGGTTTTGACACGGAGGATTACTAACAATGATCTTGAAGCAGCTGATCTTGATGAAGATGGAGTTGTTGGGTGAGACATTGTTACATGACACATATTCTGTTTCCTATTTCTTCTTCTTCTTCTTCTTCTTCTTCTTCTTCTTCTTCTTATCTTTGTCTTTTGTGTGTTTTCAGAGCTGCGGAGTTTATATTGTATAAACTGAAAGAGATGGGGAAGATTGATGAGAAAGATATCTCTGGAATAATGGACGAGTTTGAGCAGCTTGACTACGATGAATCCGGAACTCTGACGAACTCTGACATCGTTCTAGCTCAGACGGCGTCACAGGGTCAGAGGTAAAGCATCAGTCTAATCATCATCATCATCAACTTGGGAACATCTGACAAAAAGCAATGGAAGTAAACAGTTTTGGATTGTTTGTTTGTTTTCCTTTTGTGCTTTTGTAATGTAAAGCCACACAGTCTCACTCTCTTTGGTTTGTTTCTTGATGCCTGACTGTATAATTTTACAAACATATATATGAATTGATGATACTAATGTATTTTGTCTTCACAAACTGAATCTTGCTACTGATTTGTCATGAAGCTCTGGTTAATGGTGTTATGCTCCTTACAATACAACCACACTATAATTGATTGATTGATTCTCTATAAAGAGATGACAAAGATTTCATTGCTTTGATATTTCTGATGTTTTGACTGATACAAGACGTTTGGTATTGTTTTCCCGGGGAAGCCAAACAAGAATGGAGTTAGGGGCGTCGTTTCTCAAATTGAGATTCATGGCAATGAGGGTCAAGCCAGTCTCTTGAAGCACCTTTGGCCACGTTAGTTCCTTTCTCTGTGCCGCCGCCTACAAGCTCTCTTATGTTAGCCATTTTGTTTTCTCGACCGGACACATTCATTTTCTGGTCTGCTTCTTTCAGCTTCTGCTTGAACCGCTGCTTGCGGCTCGTTGTGTTACCAACATCTTGTTGGTGTGAGGGAGGAGCTCCATGTGGTCCTAAGTAGATGTTTTCTTCAGCTTTATTAGTCTACAAATAATAGAATGAGAGAGAGATTTTCGTAATCATTGAAGAAGCTTTTCTCATGGTATACACAAGAAATAAAAAATAATCACTAACCGTTGGAGAAGAAGGTTTTGATGTTTGAGCTTCTGATTCATTAACCTTGTCTTCTTCTTCTTCCATCTCCAAGCTTGGAATCACAAACCCATCAGTGTCTGACACCATATAGCACAATCAGATAATCAAAATACAACATTTGCAATCAGATAATCAAAATCAACATTTGCAATCAAATAAGAAGATGCAGAAATTGGATGCTCTGTTATCTTAATGCAGAAATAACAGGAAAGCTTCTAAATTTCAAATGATGGAGGAGGAATAGAGAGAACATGGACATGGAGAACAATCTAATCATGGAAGATTGAATCAAGAACACCATGGACATTATTCCGATCACATGAGCTATTTTTTAGATGATCAAATGCAAGCGAATTGATTTCCGCTGAGGACAAAAACACAAACCAAAAGATTTCCGGGGATATTTAAATACCAGAGAAAGCGAATTACATACCCCACTCATCGTCTTCTTCCAAAGGAAGAGTCGTCTTCGTTACAGAAGTATCCATTGAGCACCGGCGTTCAATGGATTCTCCGAACAACCAACGACAATAATTGATTTATCAGCTTTTTGACTTTTTTGAATGTGAATATCTATATATTATATACAATTAGTTATCCGTAATTCGATTATTTCACCTGCTGAAATTTCGAGAAACCCTAAAAGCTAGAGCTTGGAAAAGGGGAAAAAAATCAAGTTTTGGGGAAAGTTGATGATGGTGTTGCGGTAAGTCGGGTCGGGTCGGGTCGGTTCGGAACCGGATTTCGATCATCGATGGATGATATTTAAACACGTGTCTCTTCCTCTTAAGGTTCGTGGAAAAACACATTACCAACACTTAAAAATTTCATCCAAATTTTATAATCAACACATTTCGCTATCAACTTTTATAATCTGACTTTCTACAAATCTTTATATTATTAATTGAGAAGTACATTCTAATGTTTGGATACAAGAATTAGAGAAACATCTATTTGGATAGAAGAATAAATGGAAACAAAAGTTGTTTGGATATAAGAATAAGAGAAAAATCTATTTGGATAGAAGAATAAATGGAAAAAATTGTTTGGATACAAGAATAATAACTTAAAATAAACCGATGGTTTAGAAAACTTCCGTTTTCCATCTCTTAAAAATCTGCAAAAAAAAAACTTAACATAATCTAACGATAATTCCAAATCAATAGAATATGCTTTTTGGATTTTCGGGTTTTTATAGACAAGTTCGGGTTTGGGTGAAAATCTGAGACATAATTTTATAGAGATATATAGAAATTGTTCGGGTTTCTTTGAAAATTTCTGTTCGGGTTAGGTTCAATTTTTTTTTTCAGTTTAGGGTTTTCCGGATTTTTTAGATTTCTGGTTTTCGGGTTTAGATATATTAAAAAAATTGAGTATTTTAAAATTTTGATTAGGTATTGGGGTCGGGTTCCGGGTGAAAAAGTTTCCAGATTTTTTTTGTTCAGTCAGGGTTTTCGGGATTTTTTTGATTTCGGATTTTCATGTTTAGACCTATTAAAAAAGTTTGGGTTTTTAAATTTTTTGATTAGGGTTTTTTGTCGGGTTCGGATTTAGGGTTTAAATTTTCTACACAAAACAACAACGTCACACCGCACAAACGTGCGGGTACTCTATTAGTATTAATTAATTATAAATCAAATGAGGTTATACATTACTTGCTATTGCAATATAATTTGTTAAAGTGTGTGGAAATCTCAAAACATAGATCTTTCACGAAGCAGAAGCAATGCATTGCTATTGTATGGTTTAATCATGTCATGATTACCATTGAAAACAACCGCGTTATTGATGGGGTCTTGTATGAGACAAAGGTAGGTTCCGAAGAGATAAAGTGACAACTCCTTCACTTCTTAAAACGAATAGAGAATAAATAAATAATCATTTCATGTGTTGAATGTTTTTGGCCACCAAAACGAATTACATCGCTAATCTTGTTTGACAACAAAATATCAAGACAGAGGTTTGACAACAAAATATCAAGGACTTCTAAACAAAGGTTTTTTTTATATATGGTGCATCACTTTAAGACAGACATCTCGAAATCTGTAACCATTAACTCAGATTTTTACTTTTTACAAAACTTATACAAGTCAAATAAGATTAGCCTTTATAAAAATGAAACCTAACAAGTAACAACCAATTAAACCAACATACAGATTCGCTCATAGTATACTCGACCAGTTTCTATCGTATAACTTGGGTTTAACCACGTATGGTGGTATGTTGTTGGTGGTTATTGTTTGATTTATGTCTTTGTATTTTTGTATAGGTTAAGAAATCCTATCAAGAGTTTTTATCTTTAATATATAATCATTCTTAATTATTATTATTTTGTAAACTAATCATCCTTAATTAATGGGCTTCACATGTATCTACCTCAATTCCAAAGCTTATTATAGAATTTTCAAACAAACCAAAAAATTCAAATACAAGCCAAAACCAAAGGCTCTTCCTTTTCTCGAGAAAATTAGTTCGCAGGTGTAATTATAAAGAGTGAGAAAGAAAACAGAGCTTTCTTGTTTGGTTCCTTTACTTTACATGATCCCTCTCTCTCTCTCTCCCCCTCTTCTGAGTCTTGTCTGACACTTTTTCAAGAACTAAGATTCGTCTTTAAACAAAAAATACCTTTCTTGAATCTAGATCCAAATAGAGCTAAACTCGGTTTAAAGATCGTTTCGATAACTCAGCATGACTCAAACATCCATTAACATCAATGGATAACCAGACATTCTTGTTTTCTCTTTAAGCTTTTTTTTTTTTTTTTGCTTTGTTTGTTTAAATCAGGTTTTCGTGGAGTGATATGAAAATGGTGGAGAAATCTGACGAAGAAAAACATTTTTCTTGGTGCTGTTTTCTTTTACATCCGCCGTTGCTTTTTTTCCTTGTAGCCCTAGTTTCATCTGTAGCTGTCCTCTGTTTCTTAACCTCTTGTGGATTATCTTCTCTCCTAATAACCACCGCAGTCTTGTTCGTTTCCACTTCTGTTTTCTTTCTAACATTTTTCAAGAAAAAGACAAGAGTTTATTTGGCTAAAAGATCCCAAGAAGAAGGCAATGATGATGTTGATGATGATGATGATGATGATGAGGATGGTCTCATTGAGATTGCTCTTGTGAGTGAAGAAGCAGATATTGTAGAGGCAATGAGGCACATTAATCAAAGCCGACAGAGAATTAGAGTTGAGGAAGAAGAGATTGATGATGTGAGTATGGAAGAAGATAATCTTATTGAGATCGATATTTCCATTGGATCTATTAAAAGACGAAGTAAATGAAAACTTTGTTCGATATATTTAGTTTTCATTTCAAATATATAAAGAGAATCCAACATTTGAACACTTGTTTATTTTGTTTCACAAGAAACACTTAAACGCTTTTATTTGTGTTGTTGATAATCGGTATAGAAATATAGAAAACTATTAATATATAAAGGATTTTCAATAATAAAGCAAAGTAAATCAATATGGAATCAAAAGTAAAACAAATAATCTTCAGCTAAATATGAATCAGTTTGAATATATATGATTTTCAATATTACTATTCAGTTAAAAATGTTTTCAATACTAATGGCGGATAAAGTTTTTCCGTAGTACAAACAAAGCGGCATGAATGTATAATAGAAAAAAGGAAACCATGAATAAAGTTTTGATCCTTGTTCCATGAAAGAGTTCACTGAGGAGAAGATAGTTTCTCATATCTGCAAATCAACTTCTCGCATTTCTTGCAGTGAAAATAGAAATATTTCGGATAAATTTATTTTGTGAAATTGTCTCGGAGAACATGCAAATGGAGAATCAATTGGAGATCCAAATGTGCATACAAATCTGGTTGAAGATGTCAAGGATATGAAGTTTGAAAAAGTTGTTAAATTTGTTTAACAAGGTTATAGGCTTAAAAGATGGAATTGAATCAACATATATGTTGACGAGCAGGAAGCCTTAAACGAAATAGAAATCATGTATTCTATAAATCTCACTGAGATCAAAGGAACCGAAAATGAGAAAGTGTTGTTTCTGTTGGAACAAAACATGAAATTGCGATTAGAGGTGCGAACACTGGAACAAATGTTGGAACTGAAGGGGACAAAGTACAAAACAAGTACAAAACATAATTTGTATTTTATTTATTAATAAAATTCGACAAATATGTCTAATTTCATTCGCTTGATTCCATTTTTAGATGATTTTATGGAGAGCATGTATTTTTCTTTTCATATAACCAGATAGTACTCCTTTTCTTTTCTTTGATAGTGACTTCATTTTAATTCTTTCTGAAGAGAGATCACCCTTAGAAAAATATTACTTACAAGACCTTAGAGAAGATATAGTTGGTGATGAAGATGATGGTAATTCTGAAGAAAATAACGATGAAGAACAAGAAAGAGATTATATACAAGAAAAAACGGAAATGAAAAACAAAAACGAAAATTAAAAAGATGATGAGAATTCTAAAGAAGATGAATATCATATCTGCAAATCGACTTCTCCGAGTGAAGATGATAGAATTATCTTGGAGAAATTTAGTTGAATATGATTTTCAATATACTATTTATTTAAAAATGTTTTTCAATACTAATAGCGTATAAAGTTTTTTCATAGTACAAAAACAAAGCGGAGAAAAAAGTATTTTCTTTTATAATAAAGCGGTGTACTCTAATATGGAATCAAAAGTAAAAATAAATAGTTTCCAGCTAAATAGATATTAACTTGAATATGTTTACAATATTCCTATTTAGTTAAATATATTTTTTAATATTGATACAGGATAAAATTTCCGTTTGTATAAAAAAAACGGCATATAGAAAAAACCATGAATAAAGTTTTTTTATGATAAACAATAAACATGGTAAATCATTATGGAATCAAACGTAAAAACAAGTAGGTTTTAGCTAAATATATACCAACTCAAGTTATTTGATTATCAACAACACAATACGTTGATAATTGATAAATCTGTCAAACACAGTAGGACTAATAAAAATACTTTACGCATTAGTATTAAATATCGATCACGACTTCATTAAAAATGATTTAAATCTCTATCTAAATAGGGATAATCTTAAATATTTTCTTTTTATAATTTTCGACAATATTAAATGAATACATTGGGTTTGTGTAGCGTCACCGATCCACGAGAGTATCGAGCACGAAATCTGAACCGTCCACTAAACCACAAATGTCCGACGTGGAAATTAACTGTATTTAAAATCGTTTTTTTGCGTCCGAATCCTTATAGAAATCGGAGCGTGGGTATTTATTCTCATTCGAACGGAATAAAAAAGGTTAAAGCAAAAAAAAAAAAAAAACTCACTGCTTTGAGAGCCCTTTGGATAGCGAGGTGAGATTCCAAAGTCTTCTCCTTTTCGAGACTTTTTTCAACACTCTGTGAGCTTCTTTTCTTTGATTTTAGCCGCTGAATCATTCGAGCTTTGTCTGTCGCTTGTGGGTTGTTTTTTTTTTTTGGTTGAATGTTGTCTTGCTTTTTGAAGTCGCATTTAGGGTTTGTGCTTGCGTTCTCTTTGATTTGCGAATTTGTGCTTGTTTAGCTGAGAAACGTACGAATTTGAGGTTGGAGAGAGAGAGAGTGACCTAAATTTCTGTATGAGCTCTTTGATTTCTCTTGAGTTACAGCCTTTTTGTGGTTTGGATCTAAATCTGTGTTTTTATTTTCCCCAGAAAGTATCATAAATATTGACTGAATCATAAAGAACTTATTGGATGCCTAATTCCGTTTAAAAATTGAAACTTTTTATATCAATTCCTCGTTTTAGATCCCATTGGAGTTTTCTTCAGTTGTGTGTAGAGAGATTGAATGCAATGAAGGTTACATGTTGCTTCGAGATTTTTTCCTTCTATGGATTCTATTTTTCTTGCACATTCAGTTCCTTTTTGGTATTTGGGATTTATCTGGTGACACTTGTTTTGGATTATGTCACCATTCTTTGGAATGGCTTTATTTGTGGAAATTTTTAATCCTGAATTTGTATTTTCCACAGCCTTTTTGTGTTTCTGATCTACTGAAGACTGGGAAAGACGATGGGGGAAGAAGATACAAAAGTCGCTGTTGAGCCAACAGCAAATGGGACTAGTTCTCTTCAAAAGCCATCAGATGCAATCAGTGGAAAAGAAGCGCTGAAGAATATTGCTAGTGGAAAGGAATGTAAGAAAGATGAGGATACTGAGAAAATGGAGATAGATGATGAGATCAAGCAGCAGGAAGAGAAAAAGGAGACGGAAGATAAAGAGGTTACAGAGAAGGAAAAGGAGGTTGAGACAGAGAAAACAGAGGTGAAAGATGTCAGCGAAGACAAGGAGGAAGCAGAGGCTGCTAAAGTGGACGAAGACAAGGAACAACCAGAAGCTGATAAAATGGATGAAGACACAGATGGCAAGAATTTGAAAGCTGATGATGGTGTTTCTGGAGGTGCCACAGAGGAAGATACTGTGATGAAGGAATCTGTGGTGAACAAGTCAGCTACTACGGAAGGAGACCAAGAGAAAACTGAGAATCTAGAAGAAAGGAACAAGGAAGACATCAAAGAGGATGAGAAGTTGCTCGATGGAGACGAGGGGGACAATGTCCATGCGGATGAAAACAACAAAGAAGAGGCACCAAAGGAAAATAATGAGGGCAAACTGGCTGAAGATGGGAAAGCGGAGGAAACAAGCAAAGAAGAAGAAATGAAGGAAGCAAACAGAGAAGAGGAAGTGGAGGCAGAGGCTGAGGTCGATGAGCCAAAAGTGGAAGACGAAAAAGCAGAGAGTAAGGACGAGAATGAAGATGAAGATAAAGAGGAAGAAACAAAAGAAGAGAAGGAAGATGAAAAAGAAGAACGCATGGATGATAAGGAAGATGAAAAAGAAGAGAGCGATGATGATAAGAAGGATGAAGATGAAGATACCAAGAAGTCTAGCAAGCGAGGGAAAGGGAAGACTGAGAAGGCTCGTGGGAAGACAAAGAGTGAGCAAGAAAAGAAGGATACTGAACCTAAGACTCCTTACTCTGATCGCCCTGTCCGTGAGCGAAAATCTGTTGAAAGGCTTGTCGCGGTGGTTGATAAAGATTCTTCAAAGGAATTCAGTGTTCAAAAGGTTTGCCAATAGTTTCCTATGTTTGGTCTATAGTGTTTCCTTTATTTGATCTGTTTAAGATTTACTTTTGGACATTGCAGGGAAAAGGAACAGCTCTCAAAGATATCCCCAGTGGTATGTTTGTATTCTAAATATCTATTTTTATGGCAATTGTGTATGTACACTTGAAATGAAGTTGATACGTTGTATGTTCTCTGCAGTTGTTAGCAAGTTACAAAAGACGAAGTCTGAAGAAGTTCTTAAGGCGCTACACACAATTCTATTTGGTGGGAAAAGAGTGAAAGTGAGCATCTCTTTGTACCCTTTCATATTTTGCCATCCCATTAGACAATGCATCTTCTTGTGGGGGTTCTAATGTAGTTTAAAATTCTTATGAGTTGCCTCCGTTTGCTATCCTTAGGATTATTGTGAGTCTGCTAATCATATACATATGTGACTTGATTTTCTTGCTTTGACAGTTTGCTCAGATCAGGACAAACATATTGCGGTTTTCTGGTTACAACTGGCAGAAAGATGAGGTGGGCGATATATAACACATTAAGACTGTTCTACATATGCTCGTCTCATTTTCCTTGTTTAAATCTCAAATGAGTTTTGGCAGGACAAGGAAAAAGATAAAGTAAACGAAAGGATTGACAAATGCGTCAGAGACAGGTTGCTGGAAATTTGCGATATCTTTGACTTATCAGTTTCCAAGTCTACAAAAAAGAAGGTTATCATGGCTATTCATTTCTTTTTATTTTGTCGTGAATAAATAGGCATCCTGTTAAGGGTTAATGTCACTGTATTCTTTCCAATGTAATCAACTCGGCAACTGACTTTCTGGTAGTTTTCCTCAAATACAGGAAGAGATTGTTGCAAAGCTGTTTGAGTTTTTGGAAAAACCTTATGCGATAACTGATATTTCAGTTGATGAGAAAGAGAAGGTAACTTTGCTGTTAGAGACGCTTTTGTTCTGCAGTAGCTTGAAATGTGTTTGTGCACATAACAAATTTTAATTCCATGTTATAAAGGGAGCAAAGCGCAAACGAACTCCTAAAAAGAGTTCACCTGCAGCTGGAAGTTCATCTTCGAAACGATCAGCAAAGGTATTATTCCAATAGCTTGGAAAATTAGAGGTTTGAAGCCTTGTATAAGGAACTGTGAAGAGAATGTGTGTGTTTGGTTTAATACATTTGTTTCTGTTTTTCACGTCCTTGTTACCTGAGATCTTATAATTTCATGTGTGTGTTCTTTGCAGAGCCAAAAAAAGACCGAGGAAGCAACAAGGACTGACAAAAAGAGTTTACCTCATTCTGATGATGAGTCTGAAGAAGAGAAAGAGCAGGAGGCAGAGGAGGAAGAAGAAAAAAGTGAAGAGGAGGAGGAGAATGAAAATGGGATTCCTTATAAATCTGAGGACGAGGCGCCTCAGCCTTCTGAAAGTGAGGAGAAAGATGAATCTGAGGAGGAGTCAGAGGAAGTAATTAAAAAGAAGAAACGTGGTTCTAGGACAGCATCTGGAAAGAAAGAAGCAGCAGGGAAATCCGGAAGCAAGAAAGCTGTAGTCTCTACAAAACCCAGTCCACCAAAGAAAGCTACTCAAAAGCGCTCAGCAGGAAAACGAAAGAAGAGTGATGATGACAGTGATACAAGTCCAAAGGCATCCTCTAAGAGGAAGAAGACTGAAAAACCGGCCAAGGAGCAGTCCTTGGTTCCCTCAAAATCTGCATCAAAAGAGAAACCAGGTTTGGTCATGTTTTTTTTTCCCTATCATTTAAGAATGGAGCACATGTCAGTAGCTTTGTCAGAAGCTTGGGAAATCTTAATCTTGATCTTATATTGCATCCTCTTGTTTTTATCTGCTAATAGGGAAAAGAGGTGGAAAAGAGAAAAAGAAAACCAAGGAGCCAAGTGATGAAGAGTTGAAAAATGCAGTTCTTGATATCTTGAAAGTAGTGGACTTCAACACGGTGAGGGTTCGAACCATCAAACTACAGTAATTGAGCTTAGAAGATAGATATCTAACAAATGCTTTATAATTTTCTGGCAGGCCACTTTCTCCGACATCCTGAAGCGACTAGGTATAAGCCAGATGAATTTTTTTCCTAGCAATTATTTTCTTCAGTGGTGGTCCTGCATTTGTTTATTTTTTTGGGTAACATGCATTGTTTTCACCTGTGTTTCAGATGATGAGTTCACAGCCGATCTCACCTCAAAGAGAGCATCTATAAAGCTGATGATCCAAGATGAGCTCACTAAGTTAGCGGAAGAAGCCGATGATGAGGATGGAGAGGAGGAGGATGAGAACGAGGAAGAAGAAGAGAAAGAGAAAGCTGGGGGATCTGGTGGTGGAGTGGAGGTTAAAGCCTGATCACAAAGCACATAGATCTAGTCTAGCTACAATTTAATCTTCAAGGGGTTTCTCTCTCTCTCTCTCCATTTGCCTATCGTCAGTCATTAGGCAAATATACCAGAGAATGTAATTTGTTGGTTGTTTTTGGTCTTCAATTGTGCTACAAGCAGGGTTTTTTTTTTATTACTTTTGGTAGTAGAGTCGGAGAGGAAGAAGCTGATGAGTAGTAGTTCTCATATATGCAGCTTTGTTTTGTGTATACGATTTAACATAAGCTCCTTTAGGATTCGTGCCCGACTTATAAACATCCTTTTGATGAGTTTTGGGTTTTCCTTTTTATGACATTTGATCATTCTCTCATGCTGTTTCTTCTCTACACTTGATTACTTTGCCTGTCCCGTCTTGATTAGGTAGTATAGGAGTAAGGGAGACGCATTGATGTTGACATTAATGAGAGAAAGAAGGGACACAAAGAAGACGATGCATCGACCCAAACTAAAAGAAACATATTCTAATTAATAATTAACTTGGCCAGTGTTGATGAAGAAAAACGTTTCTGTATGCCATTGATATGAGGATGTGTTCATAGCTTACAAAAACTAAGCAAAGACCGTCAAGAGAACCGCGACTTTCTATTATGTACACATTTGAACATGAAGAATGATCTACTACATCACTTTTGGAAATCACAAAAACAGAATCCCAAAAGGATGCACATGTTACATTTGTAATGAATGACCTCTGAGGATCCTAAGGCAGATGGAGGCACTTACAATTCAATGAATACATCATACATCCAATACAGCACAAATGGCTAAAAAACATGCCGAAAGAAGATCAGCAACACTGGCCAAGCTAACTATTTGGCTGCAACTAGTACAACTACACAACAACATAATTGAGAAACAGTAAAAAAAACAAGAACATCTAAACACAATGGAAAACCGAAAGGCCATAACATCACCACAACACACTGGTCTTAGAAGTTTCACATAAAAATGGCAAAAGATAAGGTGTCTAAGAACTTAAAGAAGGCAAACGTTGGCCAAGTTTCTTTCCACTTTTACGTAACTAAGCTGAGTTGAAGAAGAGAATTCACCAGTGAGAGACTTCTTTCTCTGACAAGAGTCTGACTTTCTCTGATGTCTTCTTTCTCCACTTCTTCTTCCATAAAGCTTTAAAGTTAAGCAGGAGCTCTCACAGTCAATCTACCCCATATAACGCTATGAAATAAGACAAGGGAAACCTTAGTCAGCAAAAAGATACGGTGAGCGAATACTCCACAACGATTACTATCAACTTCAGAAAATCCTTTGTTCCAAGAGAGCATATACAGTTTTAGACAAAGGGACAATAACATGTCCTTGTGGCTTCTAACTTCTAGTCAGAAAAACTAACCAGACTAGTAATTAGCCAAGTCTTGAATCAAAACATGAAAAGAATGGTACAATTTAAGATACATGAGGAATAAAAGATACCGTTAGATCTAACTACTTACGTTTATCCGATATTTATTCAGTAGTAAGCCGCCTTCGTTTCCCATAATCAGCATCCCTTGATCTTGAGCGATGATTATCTTCCCGAGACAACCGTGACTTGCTGTGTCCTCTGGATGATCGACCTCTGTTCCATTCATCATCATGCTCAGGCTCGTCCCTGTGTCTACCACGATGATCACCACCATATCTTTCTCGTTCTTCTCTAGGACGATCCCTCTCCCTGTCCCTTTCTCTGTCACGATCACGTTCTCGCTCATGATCCCTGGAGCGTTCACGTTCCTTATGATGATGCTCCCTCTCACGCTCACGACCAGCGTCTCTATCATCACGATGCCTTCTCTCTTGCAAATCATAACCATGCCCAACATCTTTCTCCCTAGGCACGTCCCTTTCATAACCAGCATCTTTATCCTCACGATTCCTTCTATCAGATGAACCAGACCATTCCCTTTCTTTTTCCTTCACAGGATTGGGACGACCTCCTCTCTCGTGATTCACCTCTCCATACTGATGGTCAGATGCAGCTTCCTCCCCATAACTCGATTCAGTACCTCTCCCACCACCCAAATCTTCACCACCGCCCCATCCTCCATTATTAGGATCCCACATTCCCATGTTATGCCCTCCATCAACACCAGCATTTGGCATCATCCCCATTCCATTCATTGGCATACCTCTCCCAAAAAACGCTGGATTCACATGAGGTGCCACTCCAGGTAAACCAACTCCTCCTACAGGAGGGAATGAGGACAAAAGTCCAGGAAACGGTGGACCAGGAGCCCCAGGGAATCCTCCATAGCCTCCCATTCTCGCCATCGGTCCACCAAAAGCTTGCTCAAACCCTTGACCCATCATTGACTGAGGATGCATCATATTCATAGGAGGCCCTCCACCCATTCCCTGACCAAACCCACCATTACCCATCAAACCTCTTCCACCCATCCCACCAGGCCTATTCCTCATCTGACCACCTGGTCCTCTACCACCCATTTGACCGTTACCTCTACCCCAATTACCTCTACCAAACCCTCTATTTTCCCCTCCTTGGAAGTTCCCTCCAGTGCCGTTGTTGTTGTTCGTCCCGACGGGTTTACTAGGAGGAGCATCAGCAGGCCCTCCTCTCTTAGCTTGTGCAATCACAGATTGCGCCTGTTGGGTTCTATTCACCTGTGCCTCTCCCATCCTCTTAACCGAATACGGAGACGCATACTCAACAACACAAGGCCTACCGTTGAAGGCATACCCATTCAATCCCTCTTTGCAAGCCGTAGCCGCCATTGGATCAAAGAACTCCACTTGACAATACCCTTTCGACTTACCACTGGCTTTCTCATCGAAGAACTTAACCTCCTTCACTTGACCATACTTGCAGAGCTCTGCCTCAAGCTCAGCATCAGTTGTCCACCAATGCAAATCCCCAACGAAAAGAAAAGTTCCGTTGCCGCCTCCTCCACCACCGGGTCCCGCTCCAGTAGGAACACCAGGCATACCGATTGTACCTCCGTTCCCAACCATGGCATTAGCAGGAGGTCCAGGAGGGATCACGCCATTAACATTAACCATCATAGGTCTCACCAAACCCTCGTTGTTTCCCAAGGCAGGCGGTGGCGGCAAGAGACCCTGAGAAATGTTGTTTCCTCTAGGAGCCTCGACATCATTTGCCCGATTAGGAGCTTGCCCTAGCTCAACTTTAATCCCGCCTCCAGTTCCGGTAACAGTTCCTCCAGGAATCTGCTGGCTAACATCACTTACCTTGACCTCTTGAGCTCCGTATCCACTAGAAGCAGCTACCACATCAGTACCACTTTCTCCTCCTGCTTCCATTTCTGCATCCGTAGCAGCGCTCTCACCAACCAAATCAGGTATCGAGACCTCAGCTTCCGATTTAGCTAAAACAGGCTCAACCCTATCTTCTCCCTCGGTTTTGACCTTGACCTTCTCCTTCTCCTCGTCTCTCGATCCCGTTTCGTCGTTCTTCCTCACAGACTGAAGAAACAATTCTCCGACATTAACGTCGTTGTAGAGATCCTCATAATCGTCGTCCTCTTCCTCGGCCATGAAAGAGTCGTCGGCGACGGCAGAGATCGCTTCGTTTCGATGGAACTGATCCATCTGATCCCTCCCATCTCCTTCATCCATCTTAAACTCTTCCTGGTATAACAAGAAAGCTCCTTCCTTTCAATCGTATTCTCCGATCAGAATACCGCCAGCTTATAAATCAAGCTCCTTTCTTTCACTCGAACATGAAACAATCTCAATCACACAAGAGATTGCAGAAATTTCTTATCGCCGGAGAAAAGGCCTGTCGCTAGAAACCCTAATCCGGGAGATTTGTGAAATTTCTAGGATTTTCTTATTGATTTTTTTTCTTTACATTTAAAACATTTTTTTTCTTCCTCGCTAAAAGGTTAAGCTGGAATCCAACTAATATCACTAACGTACACCGTGAGCAAAGCGCATTATAAAGCCTCTCCAAATGAAAGAGTACACGTGGATTTTTTCGAGAAAGAACTAAACAATCCAACACGCATGTGTTGTTTCATGGGCCACCACATTTTTAATGGGCTCACTTGGAGGACAAGTGTAAACTACCTGTCGTTCAAACTTTCGAGAACCAATCAACCATCACGTCGTCTTATCTTCACTAAATGAAACTTCATGTCGTCTAATAATAACCGGTTCTTTTCCGGTTAACGTCTACTTCACTTCCTGAAGCCAGTCATCAACATACAGGCGCCTCCAACGGTCATATATCTCGGATATATCACAATTTACAGCGATTCACGTTTGTAAGAAACTCTTTCTTAAAACATTCATTGATCGCTAAACTTTCGAATACTCATTTTTTTACAGATTTTGTGTTTTACCCAGTAAACTAGAAATTTAAGAAACGATGCATCAATTTGTTCTGCTTTCCATTTTTGTCTTCTTCATCTCTGTTTCTGGCATCGTACAATCCGACAATGCACCAGTTCAACCGCCGAGACTCGCCGAGAAACAGGAGCCTCAGCCGTTTATCACTCCTTCTGCTAAACCACATCGCGGTTATTCACCATCAAAGTCTCCGTCGTTTCCTCCAATCCCTACTTTACATCCTCCGGCAATCCATAACTCCCCGCTGGCACAACATCCGACGACTTCTCCGAAGTCTCCGGGGAGAAAACATGTTTCCTCCCCAACCATTGCGTCTCCTGTGAAATCAACTATTTTTACTCCGGCGGCATCCCCTATTTCCTCCCCGACAGCCGTGACTCCTGTGAAATCCCCTGTTTTTGCTCCGGTTACTTCTCCTTCGTCCTCCCCGACCATTGCGGCTCCAGGAATATCCCCTGGTGTTTCTCCGGCGACTACCCCTGTTTCTTCCCGAACCATATCACCTTCATTGAAATCCCCTATTTTTTCTCCGGAAAATTCTCCAGTTTTCTCTCCGACCATTGCGTCTCCATTGAAATCCCCTGTTTTTGCTCCGGCGACTTCCCCTGTCTCCTCTCGAACCATAGAGACGCCGTTGAAATCCCCTGTTTCATCTCATACCATAGCGACTCCTTCGAAGTCCCCTGTTTCCTCTCCTACCATAGCGACTCCTTCGAAACCCCCTGTTTCCTCTCGAAGCATTGCCTCTCCTATGAAGTCCCCTGTTTTATCTCCCGCCACTGCCCCAGTTTCCTCTCTGACTCCCGTCTCTGCTCCAGCGAAAACCCCTGTTTTCCCTCCGTCTATGAATCCAGTGAAGTCTCCTACATCCGCTCCTACGACGAGTCCCTCTGCGTCCACGGAATCGCCCATCACTGCTCCAGCGAATCAGCCACCGGTTCCGGCCGATGCACCCTGGATCGCAGCAACATCGCCGGTGACAACACCTGGTATTCCTTCAAGCCCCTCGACTCCAGCTAATGCGCCGGATATATTTCCTTATGGACGCGGTCCCGTGAGTAATTCTGCACCGGCGACATCAAAGTTGGCGCCGGATATTGCTGAGGCCGAGGATAAGTCGGCTTCTAAATCCGTTCAACACCATGTTTTATGCGCATTGCTCATCTTAGTGGCCACTTTGTTATCTATAGGATAAAATATTAACATTTAGTCCATTGTAAAATGTAATTTTTTCACCTTCATTGTTTGTAATAATACTCGGTAGTTTCTTGATGTTGATATGAGAAAGAGAATAATTTTGTTTTCATTTTGCTTCATGAATATCCTCGTGGTCACTCTGGAATGAAATCTCATTTATAGCTTTTGGATTTGCATATTCATATTTTATGAAAGTCTCCTTGATTTCTCTATACACGTAGTGGTGAACTTTGTATCCTGGTTTGAACAATGTAGTCATAGAAAACCAAATTTATTACTCCAACCAATGGTTTTAAACCAATCCACATACTTTTTTAGAAACTAGTTGATATAAAGAAAAGTAGTTAAGGCTCTTAAAAATCCAACCAACAATAATGAAAAGGAAAGGAACATGTTGAAGTATGGCGGGAAGTCCTTTGAGACGTTCGGAAGTTGCTTAGGTGGCAAGGAGATCTTCTTCTAGTTGGGATGCATATCTAAGTTGGGAATGTATATTCTTGTGAATCTTTAGGGATAAGTTTAACATAGATATTAGTATAGCTAAAAAGGATATTCCTTGGTGAAGATACTCTCTTGAGGTTGTATATAATGTAATCGTTGTTGTCAATAATATTCATCACAAATTCACCAATCCTTGTTGTGCAAGTCTTACATGGTATAGAGCTAAGTTTTGATCAGAACGAAAACTAGCGCAATGGATGGTGACGGAAACAACGCGTTGATCGCAGCACAGCCGAATCAAGTTGCGGCGGTGCCTGCATATCAGCTGGCGGCGAATGAGAATCTAGGAGCAGTGATTGCTCAAGTGCAATTTAATGGCGATAACTATGACGAGTGGGCTCAAGCGATAAGATCGGCGCTTCGAGTCAAGAAGAAGTTTGGTTTTGTGGAGGGATATGTGGTGAAACCTCAGGAGAATGCACCGGACTTTGAAGATTGGATGTCTGCAAATTCCATGGTGTCTCTTTGGATCCTCAATACCGTGGATCCAAAGATAAGGAGAACTCTGGAGAACAAGGAGAATCCAAAGGAGCTTTGGAAGGAGATCAAAGATAGGTTTTCTGAAGGGAATGGACCAAGAATTCAGGAAATCAAATCTCAGCTGGCACAACTGAGACAAGGTAGTCTCAACGTAATTGACTATTATGGAAAGCTCCATATGCTGTGGGAAGATCTTGCGAACTATGAACCATCACCTCGCTGCAGCTGTGGGAATTGTGTTTGCAATCTGAACACAGAGATTGAAAAGAAAAGAGAAGATGATCATATCCATCATTTTCTGTTGGGACTTGATGATACGATCTATAGAGCGGTGAGAGCCTCCATAATAAGTACTGATCCACTTCCAAACATGAATCAGGTGTATGCCAAAGTGAAGTCGGTGGAGAGGATCGATACCGTGACAAGGGGAAGAGAGAATCAGAGTTCGCTAGTGGCGTTTGCGACTCAAGCCCGAAGCGGTACTTTCCTCAGTCCTGAAGAAAAGAAAAAGCTTGTGTGCACAAGCTGTAAGAGAAACGGGCATACGGCTGAGACCTGTTTCAAAGTGATCGGATTTCCCTCTTGGTGGGGAGACAGACCACGTCAGAGTGGACGTGGTGGTGGAGGAGGACGCGGAGTAGGACGTGGTCGTGGAGGAAGTGTGGCACATGCCAATGCTGCCATGGTAAGCGTTCCAGGAGAAACCAGTGGAGAGGCAGAGAGGCATGGATACACCGGTCTAACCAATGACCAGTGAAATACGCTGATCAAACTCCTGGACGAGAAGAAAACTTCAGGACCACGTCTGAGCGGTAAGTCTTTTCTGTCTGACTGGGTATTAGATACTGGAGCCTCGAATCATATGACAGGAGATAGGGATTTTCTGGTAGAACAGAGAAGTGTATTGCCATGTTCTGTGGGTTTGCCGAATGGGAAACAGAGTCTTAGTAGAGAGACTGGAACAGTTGTGTTTGATGAGGATTTTAAGTTGATAAACATGCTGTTTGTGCCAGATTTGAAGTGTAATTTGATTTCAGTGTCTCAGCTTATTGAGGATTTAGATGTGGTTATGCAAATTGCTAACAAGGGCTGTGTGGTTCAGGACCGTACAACGAGGAACCTGAGTGGAGTGGGTGAGCTTCGAGATGGGCTTTATTTCTTCCGTCGCTTAACAGAGTTTAATGCTTTCCGTTTGAATAAGGACGAGGCTGAAGATGTGTGGCATCAAAGGCTAGGACATCCGTCCAATGGTGTTTTCGATTTGCTTCCTGTAGTTGGCAGTAGGGTTAAGGATTTTTCTACTTGTAGCACTTGTTTCAAAGCAAAACAATGTAGAGACATGTTTCTTTCAAGTAATAATAAAAGCGACGGAGTTTTTGAAATGATTCATCTTGATTTATGGGGACCTTATCGTATAGCAAGTCTCTGCAACTCTTATTACTTTCTCACAATAGTCGACGACTACTCGAGGGCAGTTTGGGTGTATCTATTACACAGCAAAGCACAAGTGGGACAGTTGTTGCGTCAGTTTCTTGCTATGGTTGATCGGCAGTTTAGCAAGAAGGTTAAAGTAGTCCGGAGCGACAATGGGACAGAATTTACTTGCTTGAGCAATGAATTTCGTGAGGCTGGTATCTTGCACCAAACATCTTGTGTAGGTACACCTCAACAAAATGGGAGAGTAGAGAGAAAACATCGCCACATTCTCAACGTTGCTCGTGCTATATTGTTCCAGTCGTCTCTGCCGACTAAGTTTTGGGGAGAAAGCATCTTGACAGCTGCTCATTTGATCAACAGGACGCCTTCTAAGCTGCTTAAAGGAAAGACTCCTTTTGAGTTACTTCACGAAAAACCACCAGAATATGATAACTTGAAGGTCTTTGGGTGTTTAGCTTTTGCTCACAAGAAGAAGCGAAGTGGAGATAAGTTTGAGGCACAGAGCAGGAAGTGTGTCTTCGTGGGTTATCCTTTTGGAAAGAAAGGGTGGAACTTATTTGACTTGAAAACAGAAGAGATTTTTGCATCTCGAGATGTAGTGTTCGTAGAAAACACTTTTCCCTTTGCAGATATCAGTTGTGAGAATCAGAGGGATGATTGGAGAGCTATGGGCGAGCTTGATGAAGCAGTAGAGGAAGAGGAGTTACCTCGTTTGCCTGAGATTTTACCGACTGCAGTTTCTTCATCACCTGCAGTTTCTGAGGAATTGATTGAGAAAGAAGCTGATACAGCTGCTGTTGCAGTTGATGTAGTTGATGTTTCAACTGATAATGTTGGTAGTGTTGGAATGAGTGATGTGGCGGTTGCCAAAGTGGCTGATACAGCAAACGATGTGGAGGAACTTGGTCGTGGTTGTCGAGAAAAGAAGGTTTCCACGAGATTAAAAGATTTTGTTCTAAACACTGTCGTGGATCCGGATGATCCGACTGAAATAACGGTGGAGTTTGAAGATGAAGTGGATGTTGAATATCCACTGTCCCATTATCTTGATAGCAGCAAGTTTTCGCCTAGTCATAGAGCGTTTCTTGCTGCAATCACGGCGGAGACAGAGCCGACTCTGTTTCGAGATGCGGTGGTATATGAAGTATGGAGAGGGGCCATGAAGGTTGAGATTAAGGCTCTTGATGAGAATCACACGTGGGATTTGGTGAAACTTCCTGCAGGAAAACGAGCCATTGGATGCAAGTGGGTTTATAAGATCAAATATCGATCGGATGGCTCGATTGAGAGGTATAAAGCGAGGCTAGTGGTTCTCGGAAACAGACAGGAGGAGGGAGTTGACTTCAAATAGACGTTTGCCCCGGTCATTAAGATGACAACCGTGAGAATATTTCTCGGAGTTGCTGCTGCAAAGAAGTGGGAATTGCATCAGATGGATGTACACAATGCATTTCTTCATGGGGATTTAGAAGAAGAGGTCTACATGAAACCTCCTCCTGGGTTTAAAACTGATGATCCTACTCTGGTTTGTCGACTAAGGAAGTCTCTCTATGGGCTTAAGCAAGCCCCACGGTGTTGGTTTGCGAAGTTAAGAGATGCACTCAAGAAATTTGGTTTTGCTCAATCTTACTCGACTACTCTCTTTTCTCTCGCACCAAGGGATCTTCTGAACTGTATGTGCTTGTGTATGTCGACGATTTGATAATTGGTGGGAATGATCCAGCTGCAATTGCAGAGTTTCAAGCGTACTTGAGTACATGCTTTCATATGAAGGATTTGGGCAAGTTGAAGTATTTCCTCGGGATAGAGGTGGCTCGTAATCCGGAGGGTATATTTCTTTGTCAAAGAAAATATACACTTGATATTATCACGGAGACTGGTATGTTGGGAAGTAAACAAGCTACGTTTCCAATGGAGCAGCAACAGAAGTTGGCTCTGGCTGAAGGGCCGTTACTTGGCGATCCAGAAAGATACAGACGCTTGGTTGGTCGTTTGATATATCTTGCTGCAACAAGACCCGATTTGACGTATCCGGTTCATGTCTTGTCGCAGTTTATGAAGTCTCCTCGCACTGATCATTGGAAAGCTGCGTTGAGGGTTGTGAGATACTTGAAAGGAACGCCTGGACAAGGTATTCTTCTGAAATCAGATTGTGACTTGAAGTTGCACGGTTGGTGTGACTCGGATTGGGAAGGTTGTCCCTTGACTCGGCGGTCAGTGAGTGGTTGGTTCGTCACTCTCGGCTTATCTCCGGTTTCTTGGAAAACGAAGAAGCAGGAGGTTGTCTCTCATTCCTCTGCAGAGGCTGAGTATAGATGTATGTCAAAGGCGGTGCGTGAGTTGAAATGGCTGCGGCGTATACTCGAGGATCTTGGTATTTCACATGATACTCTGATGGATTTGTCTTGTGACAATCAGGCAGCCTTGTACATCGCAGCCAATCCAGTGTTTCACGAACGCACCAAACACATTGAGCGGGAGTGTCATAGTGTGCGTGATGCAATCGTGGAGAAGCTCATTGTTACGAATAAGGTGACGACGACGGAGCAGTTGGCGGATATATTTACAAAAGCTCTCGGTCGTCGTGAGTTTGAGAACATCATGTCCAAGTTGGGAACATGTAACTTACACGCTCCAACTTGAGGAGGGGTGTTGAAGTATGGCGGGAAGTCCTTTGAGACGTTTGGAAGTTGCTTAGGTGGCAAAGAGATCTTCTTCTAGTTGGGATGCATATCTAAGTTGGGAATGTATATTCTTGTGAATCTTTGGGGATAAGTTTAACATAGATATTAGTATAGCTAAAAAGGATATTCCTTGGTGAAGATACTCTCTTGAGGTTGTATATAATGTAATCGTTGTTGTCAATAATATTCATCACAAATTCACCAATCCTTGTTGTGCAAGTTTTACAGAAAAAATGACAATTTTTCACATAGGAGTTTTACCAGAATCCTCAAGAGATAGTCTGGACAAGTCGGTAACTTCTCCAAACCTCAAGGTATAGTCTGCGAACGGCGTCCCATTGTTGAACATACCGTTCCCTAAACTCCATTGCATTGGCTCATAACCTGTCCCCTGTACCATCGGAACGTACCGACCATCCATACAAGTCCCGTAATACATGGCTTGAGCCATCTCCGGCTCAGGGTCTGCAGTCACATTTGAGAAGGAAGAACAACCTTCTCCGGTATTTGATGTCATTTGGTTTAAAAAAGGAAAGAAGTTGAAACCAGTCTGCTCCATAGTAGTAGACATAGGAAACAACTGATGCTGCTCCATGCATTGCTGATTGAAACCGCATAAACCAAGTTGCTCTGAAGACCAAGAATTGTTTTCAGGTAATTTCTGATTCCTACTCGCAGCCTCCTGAATCTTATTTCCTACTGTCACGTAAGCCTCACAGAGCTCATTGAAAGAACACTTGTCGAGCTTCTTGTCCCATGGACAATACTTGACTTTCTCCTCCACCTTAGTATTGTTTTTCTCCAAGCAATCTTGTATGTTGTATTTTTTCATGCAGCTGCTCGACTTGGTGTCTATGTACTTCTTTATGATCTCTCGGGCTTTGCTCTCGTCCTTCGGCCATAACTCAGGCTCCGCGACCTCTTCGTTTCCTGTTCTGCTAGGTCCATACACAATGAGACACGTGTCTACGCCGCAGAGTGTTGAGAACTCATTTGCTTTCTTGAGCAAACATGCTTTCCTCTTCTTGTAAGTCGTTAGTCTTGTCTTCTCGTTCGTTATCCTCGTCATCTTCACCATCTTCCGACCCATCCAGATACTGAACAAAGTATAATCTTTATGACACGATACAAATATATCAAAAACTTGTATAAAACTGGAGAGAGATAGTAATTCTTAGTGTTGACATAGTAATTATCATACAAATTAATCGAAGTTTTGATCAAGAATCTATTCTAAAACTATATTGATAAAAAATCTGCGGATGGGCATGAAGTATTTGTGATCATCACAAACGTTTCTACAATCATTTTCATTTTGATAACGATAACTTTTATCAACACTAGATGGGAGTTTTCGTTCCTCTGTAATTATCATCTTCCACACATAAATTGAATTATATATATAATCAGAACGCTAAAAAAAATTCTATGTACAATTCTAATTTTAAATACGCCAAGAGAGAAGAATAATATGGAAAACACATGTATTAATATAAAGTAAAGCGGATATAAAAAGAAGGTAAAATACCTTGTTGAACGTTTATGGCTCCACTTTCTGAAGTTTCTTGATTTAACAATGGAGTTCCTCTTTTTGTGTTTATATATTACATAGACACGCAAGAAGATATGCATGGTATATTCTCAAATATTACTTCCTCTCCTAATATGGAAACATGATATTTGATTCCTTTCCATGTATTAATGATGAGGAAGTTGAGTTTAATGACTAAATTATAATTAAGCCACTAAATCAGGGTAAACCTTATGATTAGTAGGGGATGATCAAGAATCAAAGATTGTGTTAGTGATTCGAGCCAGTTGGTCTTTTCAAGTTTTCCATTTCTGCATTTCATCATTCCTTCCAATTTTTGTTTTAATTATTGTTAACTTATATAATTGTATAAAAAATTTGTTGGCCAAATATAAAATTTTCCATTATCTTACGTAATTTTTATTTTACATTTGTATCTTTAGTTATTTGTCTAAATAGCTTAAATTTGATGTTGCTATCAATTTCTTATTTTTAAAAAGATTTGTTGCATGGATCTCCTCATCGTTAACTAGTCTCCTTGCATACGCATTTTGTATGGAAGATTCCTGATCTACATAAGCAAAACAGGCTCATTCACATTCTGTTTTACTATATATATTTGTTTTTTGAAATGTAATATCATCTACTATGCGTTTTCTTACAACTTTTCTAAAAATTATGTATCTTTGCAAAGTAATATAAAATGGCGCCATAAAAACTTAAACAAACACCTAATGTACTTGCTATGCCAAACGATAAAAATGAATTAATCGAAAATCTTGTCATCTGTTTTTACATTCGAATAAATCAAGTAGAGTTTTGCCACTTGATGAGTACTAGACTGAGACGTGACATATCGTGGACCCATGATTGAATTTGATCGACCTTATGACAATGAATACGAAAATAATGGGTTTACATAACATAAATAGTATGCGTGAGACATTTTTCGCATAGTATTGATTATTTTCTGTAACAAATAGCCCCAAAAACACACTAAAATTGGTAAGCAGAGTTGATGATGGGGGCGACACGGCGAGTCGCATGGGATCTGCCTATTATGGATAATTTTACATGCTTATCCACTAAGGGACGATATGTTTCCATGTCAGCAAAATTTGTAAATTTAGTGAGATTTTGTTTTCTTTCTTAAATACTTATTCCTTATTTATACACTCCTTTTTGACTGTAAGTCATCCTATTTTTTACTCCATTATAAATATCAAAATATAATTTACACTGCTATTTAAATTGATGCTAACCATCTATTTAAACTAAGTTTTCAACAATTAAAGCGTTATTTACCGATGGTAATTTCACTGATTCACCTAAAGTTATTTTGGACACGAAGTATAATTTCACAGAGGACTAAAAATGAAAGTAAAATACTAAAGGGTCAAATACAGAATATTTGAAAAGTATATTGCCAAAAACTGGGAATGGATGGCAGCAAAAGAAAAGCGAAGGGGTTATTTGCGCAATTAAATAAAAAGCAAGTAGTTAAATAAATAAATAAAAAAGAGAAGAAAAAGGAAATAAATTTTGCGTTCCAAGTACTCCACCTCAGTCTCTTTTCCTCCGCATCTAAAACCATCAGAGAAATATCTCTCCGACGAAGGAGAAGAGAGGGGCGCGCAAATGGCGGAGATTGGAGGAATTGGTTGCGGCTGTCGCGGTGTTCCCGGCGGCAATTTCTTCCATCCCGGAGGTTTTTCTTTGAAATCCTGTTTCCTCGAGCAGAGAACGAGGCGGAATCGAAGCTTTTTTCGAAACGTGTCTATGATTCCTTCTTTCAAACGCGGCCGTTTGACCACAAAGTGGAGTTCCGTCGCCGGGAACAGCCGGATTTTTAGGTATTCATCTCTAGCTCGCTGTTAAATTCAAGAAAAATGGGAGCGATTAGAACATTTCGTTAGTTCGTGGACGTTTCTTTAGTGGAATCAATTTGGTGAACGCTTTTGATAAATTAGTTGTCTGCCAAGAAATTTTAGCTGGAAATTAGTGAATCCGCTAATCGAGATTTTGCTTGATGAACATTGATACAGCATGGATGCTCGGGAGAAAGCACGATCATTTGTGTTGGTATCATCAAAGCACAAGAAAGTTCCTGTATTTGTGATGATGCCTATTGATACATTTGGAATCGATGCTTCTGGGTGCCCAATCATTAAAAGGTCAAGCTTTCTGTAAATGTCCCAATGGACTTGATTTATATTACCTTACATAGTTACATGGTATGATATATCGGAAAAGCCAGATTATAGTATTCTTTGCTATGTAGTATATACCATTTTCAGAACAAGAAAAGTGTAACATCTTCTTTTGGTTCTCTATTTTTTTTTTCTTCTTCATTCAGGTATTGAAGTTTTTATCTGTTCTCGTTACAGGCTCAAGGCTTTAACTGTTTCTCTTAAGGCACTCAAGTTAGCAGGTGTCCACGGAGTTGCAGTTGAGGTTTGGTGGGGAATTGTAGAGCGTTTTTGTCCTCTTGAGTTTAAATGGTCATTGTATGAAGAGCTCTTCAGACTGATTTCTGAGGCGGGGTTGAAGTTACACATTGCTCTTTGTTTTCACTCGAATATGCACTTGTTTGGTGGTAAAGGAGGCATCAGTCTTCCACTGTGGATCCGAGAGGTTTGTATTGTTAGAACTAAAGGTATTTAGTTATTTGTACGTTGTAGAAATAGCAAAGGCTTGGTAATTTGGATATTGCTTCTTTCTTTGAATATTCTTCGAAAATTGAGAAAAATCTGACAGCTCCTGTTTCTCCTGTGGAGAATATAGATTTCTGTTACAGAATCTTGGATGCTTAGTTGATTATATTGTCTTTGGGAGTGCTGTCTTTGCTGGATACTTGTACGTCTGCTTGTTGCTCTAGTAATTAGTTTCACTCAGCAGCTTTTTCTTTTACAATTTCCAGATTGGAGACGTCAATAAGGATATATACTATCGAGATAAGAACGGATTCTCCAATAACGACTATCTCACACTTGGAGTCGATCAACTTCCTTTGTTTGCTGGTCGCACCGCTGTCCAATGCTATGAAGATTTTATGCTCAGTTTTTCTACAACCTTTGAGCCATATTTTGGAAATGTGATTGAAGAAATAAGTATTGGTCTTGGTCCTTCGGGGGAGCTTAGGTACTTCTGATTTTCTGTAGAAAATAATCACAAAGCCACAATAGATACAGTAGAAGTTTCTTACACGGCATTTCTTGCAGATATCCTGCACATCCTTCTGGAGATGGGAGATGGAAATTCCCTGGTATCGGCGAATTTCAGTGCCATGACAAGTACATGTGAGTGTACTTATTAATTCAAAGTCTTCACTTTCCCCGCGAATCACATTTACAGATTTTGAGCTTGGTTTAGGATGGAAGACTTGATGGCAGTGGCATCCCAAGAAGGCAAACCTCAATGGGGAAGCAGAGATCCTCCAAATGCCGGCTGCTATAATAGCATTCCATCTGGGGTTCCCTTCTTTGAGGGCCATGAATCCCAGGATAGTTTTCTCTCTGACTATGGCCGTTTCTTTCTAGTATGTATCACACCATCTCATCTTTTGCACTAGAGTAGTGTGTTCAGCAAAAGTGGCTTAGTAGGGTGGAATATAATTAACATAGGGAGCTGCTTTTCATTGTAGGAATGGTACAGTGGGAAGTTGATTTGTCATGCTGATGCTATTCTTGCAAAGGCAGCGGATGTTTTGCGGAGACGTCAGGAAGAGGAGAAACGCTCTGTGATGTTGGTTGCAAAAATCGGTGGAATCTATTGGTGGTATAAGACATCTTCGCACCCCGCCGAACTAACTGCAGGTTACTACAATACCGCCCTAAGGGATGGTTACGATCCTGTCGCTTCTGTCTTGTCTCGCCATGGTGCTGCTCTGCATATCCCGTAAGAGCCATCTTCTGTACCTTTCTTTTACAATGTAACTAGTTCATACAAAGCTGCATGTGTTGTTCAGTGTTAGTAACGAGATGAATCTTTCATAAATTTTCCAGCTGTTTGGATATGGCCGACAGTGAAACTCCTGAGAAGTATCTTTGCAGCCCTGAAGGATTGCTTAAACAGGTTAAACTTCCGATGTAGAATTCAATTATGTTCGTATGAAGATTTATGTATGTTTTCTTAAAAACGTGAACAAATCAACATTGTCCCTTTTATATGCTAGATACATGATGTTTCGAAGAAGAGGACAATACAAGTGACTGGTAGAAACACGAGCGAACGATTTGATGAGGTGAGTGATTTTGCACATTCCATAATCTTATGTACTGTAGTGGTGCTTGGTTATTAACCGTTTATATATGAATTATGCAACAGATGGGACTAAGGCAAATACGAGAGAACTGTGTGCAACCAAATGGCGAGACTGTAAGATCTTTTACATTTTTCAGAATGAATGAAAAAATCTTTAGGGTCGAGAACTGGAACAACTTTGTCCCTTTCATTAGGCAGATGAGTGCAGATGTATAAGCAGCAGCCATTGGTTTGCCTTGTAATTTTCTTTTGCTACAGATTTACAGAATTGATCTTTCCTCACCATATTGCTTTTTCAGATATGTGCTGAGGATAGAGATAATCAAATCAAAATTGTTATATGATATCTTTCTCTTTCCATTCTTCATTTGTCAACAACTCTCTTGCACTTTTAAATTCTAGTTCCATGGAAGAGTAATAATAAGTCTGCAAATAAACCTTTGAATGGATTAAAAAGTTACATTATGTTTCGATTATCAGAAACAGATCCAATACAGATACATACTATTATTTGTTTCTTTAAACAGATGATTAATAGTAAATCAAAGGACTTGCCTATCAGCAGCATCAGCAACAATGGGCAACCTAGGGGTCTGACCAAACAAGCAAGCAGAGAATCCGTAGATCAAAGAGACAAGCAAGAAGAGGAACACTGTGCTGTCCAAACTCATCACCACATCCAAACCCAACCCATCTGAGGGATTGAAGCTCCTCTCAAGCAAATCCGGGAAAATCAGCAGCACATCGAGCACAATCGCCTGCATTGTGTTGAACCTAACGTACCTGCTGAAGTTTTGGTTCCTCACGACGACGAAGTAGAGAGTGAGGAAGATGAGAAAGCCATTGAAAGGGAAACTCTTGAAGGCCTTGATGGCGGGAAACAAAGGCTGGATGAGAAGCTGGAAAGGTTGGTACTGCGTGATGATGAATTTACCGTACTGAATCCCATCGAAGAATGGGTAGAAGTAACAGACGGCTGAGATTATCCGATCAGATGCATCGACGGAATCGTCTCCCTTGGATTGGAGGACGAATGTGGCGGCTCTTTCCCTGGAAAGTCTAGGTTTTGGGAATTGGGTATTAGAGTTAAGAGGGAGAGAAGAACGTCCGGTTAGGGTTCCGGTTTGGAAGAAGGTGAGAGATGGCAATGGCGAAAGAAGATGAGACATTGCCATTTTGCTCTGTGTCTGTTTTCACTTCACTCAAAAACGAAAGAGAGAGTTTGCTCACATGATGAGAGGATAATAAACTAAACTCCACGCTGTTTAAGAATGTTGATTAAAACCATTGTGCCGTCTTGATACTCTGTAACGGCACGCAGTTCTTCTATGGAATAACCAAACGTAAACAATAAAATCGGTGCTGTTTAAGGATACGGAGACTAAACTACACGACGTGTTAAAAACGGCAAAAAAGTTCTTTGTAGTGAAGTGAATCGAGTAACAAATAAATAGCCTCTTGTTCTTGTTTTGCTTTTGTTTTATAAAACTTTTTTCAAATATCAAACTCACCAGTATAAGACGGTGTATCGTCTTGTGTTGGAGATGGACCCAATTCTTTCAATTTCCACCTAATTTAATTACCTCCGTATTCATTTTCTTAGCTCAGTTAATGTCTCTTCCACATATATATTGAATCAACATAACACATGTTTGTTCATAGTGAAATAAATGCCAAGATAGTTAAAAACCTAGACAAAAAATAATGTCAATCATCATATGTACGATTTTCTTGTTTCTCTTAAACGTTTCATCTGCGTTTGCGTTTACATTTCCCAAACCGTCACTCGCAAGGCAACTATCGGAATCAGAGACATCAAACGCAACAAATTCCTGCTCAGCAACTGGAAATCCAATCGACGACTGCTGGAGATGCGACCAAAACTGGAAAGACAACCGCAAGAACCTCGCGGACTGTGCTGTCGGATTCGGACGCGACTCAACCGGCGGTAGAGACGGCGAGTACTACACCGTAACCGACTCAGGAGACGACGATCCTCTAAACCCGTCTCCAGGCACACTACGGTACGCCGCAACGCAAGAACAGCCTCTATGGATCATATTCGATCGTGACATGGTGATAAAACTAAAAGAAGATGTTCTAGTCAAGTCGTATAAAACCATAGACGGAAGAGGAAACAACGTGCAGATAGCTTATGGGCCGTGTTTGACTTTATATAAAGTAAGTAATGTGATCATAAACAATATTTATATCCACGACTGTGTTCCGGCGGCACGGTCTTTGGGAGGAGGTTACTCGGACGGAGATGGGATCTCTATATTTGAGTCACGTGATATTTGGATTGATCATTGTACGTTGGAGAAGTGTTACGATGGGCTTATTGATGCAGTGAGTGGGTCCACGGATATAACGATATCGAATAATTACATGTTGAATCATAACGAAGTCATGCTTTTGGGTCATAGTGATGAGTTTACCGGTGATCGAGATATGAGAGTTACGATCGCTTTTAACTATTTTGGTCAAGGACTTGTCCAGAGAATGCCCAGGTAATTAAATACAATCTTTCCTTTTTGGGTCAGATTATGAGTTTAGTTTATTTTATTGATTTTGATGTGTTTATCTTCATACGATGAACTCAATATATTTTGCAAGTTTTTTTTTTATGAAGTTTGAAAAAATAAAAAAAAAGAAGATTGTATATAATTACTTATTGCAGTTATTAATGTGTAGGTGCAGGCATGGGAATTTTCACATAGTGAATAACATTTATAGGGAGTGGGAGATGTATGCTATTGGTGGAAGTGCTAATCCAACGATCTTTAGTCAAGGAAATGTTTTCATAGCTTCTGATAATCAGTTCACAAAGGAGGTATGTGTTAGTGACGTGCATGGTTCACAAAACTAGAGCATTTCAAGCTAACAATAAATATAAATACAATTTAATTCATGATTAGCTATATTATGTAGAAATTCAACTTTTTTGCTTTGATTATCAAATCTCCCTTGACCTTGAGTGTCAAACTAGACTAAACAAAATTAAACTAAATCAAACCAATCAGAATGCAAAATGAGAATTTGTTTTAGTTTGGTGAGTTTTCTTCCAAACAAAGCTTATGTTAATTAAGAGGGATCAAAGCAATTACATAAGACTTTTATTACCAAATGGATTAGATTTCTAGACCGAAATGTTAACTCTTAATGCTAAAACTCACCTACTATATACGCAGGTGACAAAGCGAGAGAATGCAGAAGGAGACGATGGATGGATGGAATGGAATTGGAAATCAGAAGGAGATGAAATGATTAACGGCGCTTTCTTTACACCGTCAGGGAATGAGGATTCTCCGAGCTATGCGAAAATGTCAAGTATGGTTGCTCGACCAGCTTCACTTCTCGAGATCACACATCCATCAGTTGGTGTTCTTAGTTGCCAAAATGATCAACCTTGTTAGAACACAAGCAATCTCAGCTTCTCATCAAATCTTGTATTGTTCTCTTCTTTTTCTTGGGTGTGGTTATTGTTCGAGAATAGAGGATTGTATTGTGTAATGATCATAGGCAGAAACAAACACAATTGCAGCATAGCTCATTGTCAATTTTACCAAAAAGTTTCAATTAAAAGTCATTGAAACAATTGCAAATACTCTGAATTCAACAATAAACTAGAAACAAAGTGGAAACTAGTGCTGCTCATAGATATTTTACTAATTACTGTCTTGTCTTCCAACACCATTTTCATTACATCATCAACAAAACAAACACGTGAACAAGAACACACAAAAATAAACCACCGACTATAAACTCGACAACCAAATTTTAAATAGAAGAAAACTCAATAATGGTGGGAAATTAAATAAACATCATTTACTTTCCCTCAAAGATTCTAGAACAAAAAAAAGAACAGAAACAGAGAAGAAGAGAAGAAACAAGAATTGAACTATAGAAGCCAAGAACTAGAAGCAAACAAGCAGATCAAGCTCACCACCAAGCCAGCCTTAGCTCCTCCGATGATCCTAACCGCACCGGCCTCATCTGCGGTCGCATCATCCGCATCCCCATCAGGCCCTTCCGCAGGGGAATCCGACTCATCATAAGAATCCGAATCCGGCGACGGTGCAGCCTTCTTCTTCTTCCCTTTCGCTTTCCCTTTAGCCGGTTTTGGAGAATCCGCAACATCACCGTCTTCTGGCGCTGGAGCAGGAGCCGGAGCTTCAACAGCCGAAGCCTTAAACAGCTCTCTCGGCAACAAAACCTTATCCGTCGCGTAAATAGCCAAAGGCTGATCGTCGATCAGTGTATCAATGATCTTGACAGTGTTGATTCTTGTCCTGATCGTGACTTTCTCTCCATCGTTCTGCACAGTGAGCTCGTACTTGTTGGCTCCGTCGGTAGCGAGCGTGTTCATGGGACCGTTGTTGGATTTGAGCATCGCCATTGAGTAATACGTCGGGACGGCGAGGAAGTCGAGGAAAGCTTCTTTCTTTGGAGCTGTCAAGTTCTTGTATTTGGGCAAGAATCCTTTCATGGCGTCGTCTCCTGGACAGAACACTGTCATGCCTCCTTCTACACTCTCCTGTTCAACACAATCCACAATTCATTAGAATCTCTCATGATTGTTTTTCTTTTAAACTAAGATTAGTCAAATTGAATTTGTTTTATCTACTTAATTATGGTGGCAAAATTATTGCTCTGTTTCATATTTGAAAAATATGGTCGTTTTATTTTATTTTTAAATTGACTGTCTTTGAATTAGAAAACTGATTGATACTATAATGCTCCGATAATTGAGGTGATCAAGTCTGTATGTTTGACTATTGTTACCTGATAGTCAACACCTTTTGACATTTTGTGATTGCTACAAGCTAAGACTAGCCAAACAACCACATGCATCATTTCTGATTAATTTAATTTCGAATTTAGCAACGGGAATTAATTAATTGCTTATAGTTGGAGATCATTGCTAATCTTAGCGTGAGCACCTGAATCTGTTTGTTTAATTTAATTTTTTACATTTGCACAACCACATGCATCAATAAATTATTACTAATCCAAGAATGGAAAATTACTAATTATTGAAAGTATCATTTTCTGATTGTGTGTAATAATTAGTTACTAATCAGGGTTTAGTAATTACCTGGTAGGTTTTTGTAGCTCCGGGGTTAGCGAGGAGAGCCTCGGCGAAGACTTTGCAGCCGTGAGCCGACATTATTCCGGTGATATTCATCTCCGCCGGGGCCGGAGTAGGAGCCGACGCTGTCTCCGACGGCAAGACTTTGTTGATCTGGATAATGGAGATGTTGTACGGAACCGCTTCTATGGGTTTGACGAAGAAAGAAGACGGATCTCCACCGTCGGGGCCGAATCCGACCTTGCCGCCTTTCAGATCCGTGATATTGACGAATCCGGTGGTTCCGGGAGCTGCTCCGGTGGCTTGGAAGAGAGTGGCGGCGAGGGCGGAGCCGTCGCGGATCTGGTGGAGTTTTTTGGCGTCGAAGTAATCGAGGAGGACGTGGAGGGAGAGGATGTTTTTGAGAGTGGAGATTGTGTAGCCTTTGGAGGTCAAGGCGGACATGACGGAGTTGTCGACGGCGCAGACGGTTATGGTTGTTCTCCGGTTGATTTCGTCGGCGAGGTGAGTCTGGGTTAGGAAATGGTTGAAGGAGGAGAAAGAAGGGTGGCTTGCTAGGAGGCGCGTGACGTTGTGCGCGTGGGTTTCGATGGCGAGGAGGAGAAGGAGTGGGACAATGTAGGAGATGATGATTCGTCTCATCTTTTTCGCCATTGTTGATAATCTCGAGAGAGAAAGAGAGAGAGTGATGAGAGTGAGCTATGAGCTTGAACAAAGAGTGGAAAAGGAAGAAGGTGTCAACTTAAATGAACCTGGCTTTTTAATTGAAATGACGATTGTGCCATTTATTTAATGTTTTATTGTGACATTATTTTTAATAGTTATTGCGAATTTAAGCTTATGGGCTTCCAGTTTTGTGACCATGTCTCACTCAGTCGCTGTGTGTTTCAGTTCCACCTAATTATTTAAAAATTATTGGTTTGTTTTCTTGAATGTAGGAAGTTGGATGTTATCTTGGCTAACTAGTATTTTATGATTTGTTTTCCTTTGTTGAGATACTTCTAGTGGATGTGGATCACTACTATTATGTGATTAAAGTCTAAAGATGATGTTAATTACTTGTACGTGTAGTGTAGCTAAAAATAGAAAAAGCCTTTCAGACTAAAAACATCCAAAATATATATAATCAAACAAGCTACGTCAGACGAAAAAGAAAATTAAACATGTCACGTGGGATGGGAGGAGCATCTCTTCTTCGTAAATTAAGGCATCAGTAACTTATTTACTCCAGTCTAAACAAATATTAAACCCATTTCACAAGCATAGAATCTTCTTCCTCGTTTAATTTATTTAGTAAACGATCCGAAAATGTTATAACTTCTTGTAACATTTTCAAATATGTAACTTGTGTAAGCAAGTTTTTTTTATGTGATCCTTGAAACTTAAAAGCACGATTAGACGGAACCCGTGTCTTTGGCTGCAGCCACCTCATCAGTGTCGGTGACTAAGCAAAAGTTAAAGCGCACGAATGCGTGATCTTTACGGTCAGCGAAAACCGGAGATGAGGCAATTTGGTGGTTTAGCGAAACTTCATGGGTCCTTGTGGAATTAACGATGCTACGAACTGGTTGGCCCGACCCAGAGGTATCGATTTATAAACATGCCACATGGATGGCTGAGATCTGTTTTGAAGATTCTCCACCGACAATCGGTCGGTTCGTATAGTAAGCTGAATAACTGAGTACAGTACCTGAAAATCTGACGCAACGGTTTGTTGTCGCTTGTCACACTTGTGTGATACGATGGTTGAGTAGTTTTGGTTTGATTTTTTGTTTCGTTCTTTCTCATGAATCATGATAGATATAATTCCTTTTTAACCAAACTTAAAAGCATGATTGATTAGGCAAACCCAAAATCTGATTAGAGATGTTGCAATATTCTAGTTCAACATATTTTATGACTTTTTGTTTGTTATGTCAAACAATCTGACCGACACAAAATGACTAGAAACTTGCCAAATTAGGTAAGTGAGTCTGTGAAGAAATGTCTGAATAATTTATGTCAAAATGATTTCAAAGAAACCAGCAGATCAAAATGCTTGTTGTCTGTCTGTATAATTTAATTTCGAATTCTCAAAATTGTTACATTTTGATATTCTTCTTCGAAAACTAACATCTTTATCTTGGTGAGACAAAGTTTCTTGAAAGAGATCAAGCTTGTTGACTCTACAAGAAACAAAGAATTCGTAAACTGTCTATGAGAAACTGCTATAATTGTAAATATCTCTATAAACATAGTAATATTTAATACACAGAACATCATGAAGAATCCGAATACATATCATACAATAACAATGCTAAGATCCTCCGTATGTCACTGTTCCTAAGATGTGTGTTATCATTAGCAACAAACACGTGTACTCTTTCTTCTTCTCCTTTAATCTGAATCCAGCTACATCCAGGCTCTTTCTTCAGACCTTTATCTTTCATCATCTCTCTCATCTTCACAACTTCATCCCAATTTCCTTCAACCGCATAAGCATTCGATATGGTCACATAGCTACCAGAGTTATCAGGTTCTGATTCTAACAAATGTCTTGATAAGTAGTCCATAAGGTCAGTCTTATGTTGCTTGTTGCAAGAAGCAAACAGAGACTGGATCATTCTTGCATCAGGCTTGTATGGCATTTCCTCGATTAACCTCAAGGCTTCGTCTGTTTCTCCAGCTGACGCAAGAAGATCCACCATTAGTCCATAATGTTCCAAGCATGGTTTCATGCCACGTTTTGAAACCATACCGGCGAAAACCTCTATAGCTTGGTTAACATCTCCGGCGTGGTTGCAAGCAGATAAGAGGCTTGTGAATGTTATGTTGTCTGGTTCAATGCCTATATCTTCCAAGCTTCTGTATAAAGCGACTGCTTCTTTCACTTTACCATATATTGCATACGCCGAGATCATGGCATTGTAGAGAGGCAACTCGCTGTATAGCCTACTTCCAAAAACCTTCTCTGCTCTGTTTATATCTCCACATTTAGCATACATGTCAACCAAAGAAGTCTCAACCGAAACCGAAGAGGAACGCTGCTGGTTTCTTATGATGTATCCGTGTATTGATCTTCCGAAATGCAACGATGCTAGATTTGCGCAAGCAGAGAGTGCGGCAGTGATGCTAAAGACATTTGGTCTCAGCCCGGATTCTTGCATCTTTCCGAGAAAAAGAATCGCCTCCTCGCTGCAGCCATTTTGTACCAAACCATTCATCATAGTAGTCCACGAGATTAGGTTTGGAACAATTCCTGAGGACTGCATCTGCAAGAACATTTCCTTGGCCTCATCTACTTGCCCATTCCTGAAAAGACTTAGAACGATCAAGTTCCATGTTATCACATTTGGTGGTACACTTTCTAGCTGCATCTCATAGAACAATCTCAAAGCCTCTCCGCTAAGACCAGACTCCGCATAGGCTGCAAGTAACGTATTCCACAGTATCAAATCCTTTTGCACTGTGGAATCAAACACTTTCTTAGCATCAACAATGCTGCCACACTTGGCGTACATATCAACCACGGTGCTAGCTAAAACGATATCAGACTCAAAACTATGTCTAATGCAATAACACTGCACTTCTCTCCCAAGTTTCAAGTTCTCAGTACGTGCAGCTGCAGACATCAACGTCGACATAGTGACGCAGTCGAAATTCAGCTTCTCTAGTCTCATTAAACGACACGTATGAATCGCCTCTTCCACTAGCCCTTGTTGAACATACCCTGAAACAAGCAGATTCCATGTCACCACATCTTTCTCAACCATTCGATCAAAAACCATCTCTGCACACTCGATCAAACCAACTTTGCAGTAGAAATTCAAGATCGATGTTCCGAGGATGTTATCCAGCTCTAATCCATTCACAATGGCAATGGCATGAGACTGTTTCCCTTCTTCAATCCCACCCAAATTGGCAGAAGCAGATAAGCAAGTCGAGACAGTGACTCGCGTTGGCTCAACACCTTCCTTCATCATATCAGATAGAAGCCGAATCGCTTCCTCGTTCATACCGTTTTGAACATAACCCACCATCAACGCATTCCAAGCAACCACATTTCTCTCAGGAATTTCGTCGAACACCTTCCTCGCATCATCCAAAAGACCGCATTTGCCATACATATCAGCTAAACTACTAGCCACAAACACACAATCATGAAACCCAGATTTCGCCACATACCCATGAACACCTCTCCCGAAGCGACTCCACTGCAACGCGCCACACGCTTTGCAAACATTCGGAACCACGAAATTGTCTGGAAAGATCTCATTTTCAAGCATCTCAACGAAACCCATCAAAGCTCCTTCACCGAGCCCAATCCTGCATTTCACACCAATAATCGCTGCCCAGGAGAAAACATTCCTAACCCTCAATTTCGAGAAAAGAGCTTCAGCGATCTCCAGAGCATCGCATTTCGCGTAGAATATCACCAATTTGGTCTCGATGTACTCGTTCCTGGCGTAGAAATCACCGTTCTTCAGAATCCGGGCATGGATTTGCTGCCCCGTGCAGAAATCTCTCTCGTAAACGCATCCCTGGAGGATTTCACCGTATATCTCGGGACCAATCCGTAGGTTTCTGAAATCCATCTCCGTTACTAAGCTCAGAGCTTCTCTGATGTCACCGCTCTTACACAGAGACGAGACGCGGTGAAAGTAAGATGTGGACAAAGGATTACGAGCTTGATCATCGTGAAGTTTAGAGGGTTTCGTTGACACTGAATATGGAAGTTTAATTGGGATAGTGTTGAAAGGAAGAGAAGCCATTCATGCCTCTCTGCTAACGTCTCAAGTCTGAAGATAACAGAGTAGACAGGAGTAGAGTGATGATAGATTCTTTCTCGACTCTGCCACGTAATTAATTAGTTATTATCTCTTTCAGTTTGGCACCGTTGATTCTTCTTTAACTTAAATAAATTTGATTAAGTTTTACAACAATAGATTTGAATTTAACAATACTTATATAACTTTTTTTTTAAAATATTTTGGAGCTATTGTGGTTATTTCGGAATTAATATACTTAGTTTACACTTGTAGTTTTGGAAATTTTTGATTATTCCAAATATTGGCGAGGAAGATTATGAAATTGCGCAACAAATATGCAAACTTTACAACGTTACAAGAAGTTTAAGGACATTATAGTTATTCTGATACAATAACGTATTTGACCTGAATATGCTGGATATATAGATAAAATTTTGGGTGTATATATATTTTAAAGTTTTTAGAGTTTAGAAGTCTATAATATATAGAGTTTTTGTTTTAGGTTTAATTTTGGTTTTCCGGATCGGTTTTGGTTCGATTTTCCAAATTCAGTTAAATATCCAAATAGTGCAAAACTTGATCATTTGTCCTTATACGGTCTCAAACAGTTTGAGTGATGACCGCTAGAAATGCATACAATATTTCAATGGTAATTAGTTTTTAAAACAGTTTTTTAGTTCCACATGAAAAATAAAATTATCTAAATATATACGTATTATACATATAATTATGACATTCACTTTCTATTATTAAGTTAGCTCCAACAACTAATCAACTTCCGGTCATCAAATTTATACTCATCGGCCGGCGATCCATGAGGGCGCCGATTCGAACTGCTCTGCGTTGATACCTATGCAGAGGATAAAACCACTATACTACAGATAACTTTTAGTTATTTGGCGCCCCTAAATTCTTATTAACGTTTGGCGCCTAAAGCACAATACTTTATATGCTTTACAATACTTCCTCTTCATCATACTCATCATCTTGATCATCCCCGTATCAGCGAGCTTCCTTAAATCATTAAAATTGCTTACATGATTAAAATTTATTTATTGTACAAGAAATAATATAAACAATGTTTTAGAAAGTGATAAGCGAGCAGTTTAGGAGTTTATAAGATAAATTTATGTAAATATGTATATATACTATTTCAGCAATGTAAACATCACATTTCGCATAAAGTAATACCAATTTAGTCTCGATGTACTCGTTCCAGGCGTAGAAATCACCCTTCAAAATCATAGCATGAATTTTCAAACTAAAGCTACAGCATAAACCAAGGTCCATTATCTCTTTTGATTTTTTTTTTCTTCAGGGAAGGATCACCCACTATTGTTGATAGATTTTCTTCTCGTCGGTAGTAAATGTTTGAATTTGCGATTCTTATTATGTGTCAGAACCGGTTTTGGATTCGATCTCGGGTTACTTTTGTTGGGCTTTTAACTCTTTCGGTTAATGAAATCGAGCTAAATGTAGTTTGGTTAGCAAATAGCATTACTTTAGTATACTTTGATCATTTAGCGAACTATATTTTTTATTCGCAGTAAAGAAAAACAAAGGTTGTGAAAATTTCAACAAAAACAATTATGACAAGCTGGTGTGGAAATCAAATTTTCGGTCCGAAACTACACCAAATTGGGGATCCTCTTAGTTTATATATTCTTTTGATCAATAATATTGATGAAAATAACTTTTTATTCGAACTTTTCTTTAATTCGAAATTGTAAAAACAAATTTTTTTGACATGATCAACAGAAGAAGAAGCTAGTTTTTGATAGAGCTGATATTTATCTAAACCTATGCACGCCCTAGAAGATAACAACAAAATAAGACAACAACACAAGCATCAATAAATAAACCGGCGTTGCAGGGGAAGCCACCGCCGCTCCTGTTGTACCACCTACGGCTCCTCCTTGCCCGCCACCACCTTCACCTCCTCCGAGAGTACCGTAAGGATAAGGAGGAGTAAAAAAGTAAGGATACGGAGGAGAATACATTGAAGATGGTGGTGGAGTGCAGCAACCTGTCGTTGGAACAGGAGGGCAGTGGGAACGCGGTGGTGAAGGAGGTGAAGACGGTGAAGGCGGTGGAGGTGGAGGTGGTGGAGGAGGATTACCGTATGGAGTGTAGCCTGTAGAGGAAGGCGGTTGAGGCGGTTGGTTACATGGGTAAGGAGTGCACAGACCAGAGTTTGAATCCGAAGCTGAGCTTAGGTTGACAAAGTTGAGAAGTGATAAATAAAAGGTAATAAGAGGAATAGAGAGAGTAACTTGACGAGACAACATGATTGAGTTAGAGAAGATGAGTTTGGTCTTAATTTGGTTTGTAAGATGATCATATACTGGTGCGAGATTTATGATAAAAAGAGATGAATTTCTTCCTTGGTATCGTATTATCTGCCGCATGGCATAACACATGTCGTAAATGTTGGAGAATTTCTGAAGAAAACGTTTGCGTCATTTTAACGGATGTAGACAAGAAAAAATGTTGTCATGTATTACAACCAAAATAAAATAAAAAATGTTGTCATTTAAAGGGATTTTTTACTTTGGAATATATGTCGCGGTGCCCAACTCATCCAAAGAAAATGTGTTATGAGTGACATGAGTTTGAAGATGAGTGTGAGAATTTGAATCTTTTGTTATGGGAAAGATGAAGATTGAAGAACCATGGATTGTTCAAGTGATCAATAAAAGAAGACCTAACTTTACGTTGAAGAAATTAAGCTCTTATATTGTTTTCGTCTTTTGTTCATCTATGAATATAAGGATTATCAATTACGGTAGAAACTCTATAATTAATACTCTATAATTACGTTTTAATCCGCCTTTGTGGTTTAAGGACTTGTTGTATGATGACTTTGTAATTTCACCTTAATGAATATAATGACACTTTGACGTAAAAAAAAAATACTCGATATATTAACAGAGTTTTTTGGCTCCCAAAATAAGTTTTTGATGTAAATGATATAAATTAATAATTTGCTAAATCAATAAAATAGCTTAATCCCTACATTATTAGTAGTAGACAAACTTTAGGTCCTAGTGATTTATGTATCCACCACTATAAGGATTAAGGAGTATCAATTGATATTTGGTTGACAAACGGTCATAGTGATTTATGCATGGAGTATCGATTATAAGGATTATCAATTAGGTGCTCGTATTCGCCTTACCGGAGTCTACCAAGACTACTTATACGTACCATGGCCAAAATTGAGGCAAAGCGGCACTTTTGATACAACTATAATCAAATTAGTAGTATCTCTATAATAAATCTTATTAATCAATAACATACTAAAAAGTACTCATGTTAATTCGACAGATGATTTTTAAACTACAATCAATTTTTATTTATAGTGTTTTAAGATGTTTACTGAGAGTATGTGCATCGTGGACATGTTTTGTTATGTGATGGATATGGGCTGCGCTACACATGAGTTTTTCACAAGAATCATATGTTATATGTACGTTAAGTTCAGTACTGCGGCTAATTATCATAGTAAACGTAATACGAACAGATTTGTTTGGCTAGTTAGCGTAATGTTGTCTTTCGTGTATAGTATCTGGTCTCAATTATTACAAACTAGAGATTAAAGCCCCGCGCAAGCGGGGTTGTTTGCGATAATTTTTCTGTTTGATTTTATTTATATTTATTGATTTGAAATTTTGAATTATGATGGTTATATGTTAACTTCCATGTTTTGGTTATATTTTGAGTTAACCCAACAATTAACACTAACAATATGATCAATTTTTTTTATTAAGATATTAACACCTTACTTCATCTCGAGTTTTCTATTTCTAAAATTTAATATGCATTTGACTCAACGTTAAAATTTGTAAACATGGTGTAGAATCGCAATTGCACTCAAAATATGATGAAAAACAAAAACATGTATAACTTCTTACATATATGCTTTGTTGTGGTAGCATATGACAATTGATTATTTTCTATTATGTTAGTTTTGTAAATATAAATTGTATTTTTGAAACAAACATGTCACCATTCTTAAAATTTTCATACTTTTCGTTGCAATGAAATTTAAATAATAACTCGACTTCTATTTTTTAATAAAACAAACTCTAACTCTAATTTTTTATTAGCTTTTTACTATGTTAAATAATTTATATGTACCTTTTTTACTTGTAAGCACATTATAACATTTTTAAATAGGATAAATCCTTTGAGTTAAAACCTAACTATATACTATTTCAAGTTAAATATTTCTTTATTTCATCTCCATTTTATATTACAACTTTCTTTTAACTTTTAACATCAAGATATCACATACTTTATATTAATCAATTAAATTGTTTGTGTATTTTTCTTAGTTTTGTTTATGTGTAAAATAGGAATATATATAAAGAAATATTAATACACATATATTAAATATCTTAAATACAATTAATGATTTTTTTGCTGATGTGGATAGCCTAGGAGGAGAGAGCAACTCTCCTATTATATATACGATACCATAATACTAACGTAAAATTTGAAAAGTGCAACAATATGTTTAGAGTTTCACATCATCATGCATCAAATGGCAAAAACGAAAACTTATTCCCATCATCTCATTTATTGAATGTGTTGAAAAATGCTCACCAATAAATGGGTTAAGCTCGATCAATCTATCATTCACTATTCACTAACCTACTTTGACATTTTTAACAACTAGGGCTAAAATAGTCATATACAGTGATAATATCTTGCATGTCTCTTGTATTTACTTCACTGTGATCAAATTTCAAACGAAGATGACTTGTAAATATGTAGCAAACTGGATTCAAATCTGGTTGTTTATGATGAGGTTTTTATTTTTGTTAAAATTGACTGATGACTGATCCGGTTATTGTTCTACCGAGCCGGTTGAGAATTCAGTTGTAATCTGCCTAATATACACTCTATAGATAAAATATTTAAACCGAATCCAGACAAAATCCATAATGGTTTAGTGTTTTAGAAAATTACTGTACAACTCATTTGATTTCAATCTTCAATGGGTAGAAAGTGAAATAAATTAACAGAGTACAAAAATGCATAAAGTTGGCTCATCCGGTTAGATGAGTATTGTAACAGCCCGGCTCACCGGCCCACCGCCGGCCCGGCGCTGTTAGGACTGCAGCCCAATACGCCCCAACCCCTCCGGTGTATAAGGCCACTGCCACTATATCAACCTAGGTTGTTGGTGAGACTCGAACCTGAGACCTCACCCTTTAAGTAGCCTTCCCTACAGGAAGCTACCACCAATTGACCTGCACCTAGGTTGATATAGTGGCAGTGGCCTTATACACCGGAGGGGTTGGGATGTATTGGGCTGCAGCCCTAACAGCGCCGGGCCGGCGGTGGGCCGGTGAGCCGGGCTGTTACAAATATTGTTACAATCATATATACCGGATCCAAATTCGTGTTTTTACTACATTACCAAGAACTGAGAAGATAATTTACGAATGTAAAAAGAATCGATGTAAGTATTACTAAATTTTAGTTACGGCAGAATAGAGTATGCATGAAAGTGAACTTTATGATTGATTATTATAGAAAAAAAGAGTAAAAAAATTGATTCAAAACAAGTAAAAGATTGGTGAAATGAAAAATATTGCATTGATAACATCCACACAATCAGCTAGCTAGTCATGTTTTAGAGTTTTTACACAAATTAAGAAACATTTATTGTTTACCAATTAATGCATATTTCTCTTACTTAAACCACTTTTTAATAATATATTAACCAATAGAAATTCAAGAATTCAGTTACTTTTAATTATTGGTTATTGAAGTTTGTAGTTTTTTAGCATTAATTGACAAAAAGTACCTTAAAATTTCTAAAACATCATATATTATGAAACAAGATAAAAAGCTAAAACATCATATATTCTGAAACGGAGGGAGTATTAGCTTATATATAAAATCTTGTGTTTATCCAATGAAAGTAATTTTGAGAAATTTTTAAAATTCCATAAAAATCGAAATATATCACACTCTTTTACATGATTAAAAAAGAAAAAACTGAAAAATTCTTTAGTAAAATTTTCTCTAAACGTTAAATTTTGGATTTTGATGGTAACAAACAATATACTAAGAAATAAAACCATATACGGTATTATTTTATTTTGAGAATTGTCCTAAAAATATAATCTTATTATATAAAGCTGGATGCGCACGACGTGGTTGCGACACATAGGATTTTTATAAAATTCAGGATCGCGACATGTGTCACTTTTAATGTTAAGTCCGTTAAGATCATGACACATGTTTTGAAAAAAAAAATATTTTATTTTAGTTAAATATTAGAAAAACGAAAATTAAGAAAAGAAGAGGAAATTTTAATCTATTATATTTGTGAAATCCTAACAGAAAAAGGATTCCCATTCATCAAAATTATATTATCTTAACACATATTAAATTCAAAATAATGTAATAATAAATTTCTATTAGTACATGAAATAAATTATGTAAACTAAATTTCCTATAACTGCATGGAATATGTTAAGTGAACCCCTATAAAAAGAAATTTAAGGTAGTCTATTTTTTCTCATCCACAAACTCATCAAATCTTTTTAATTATCTTTCTCTAATTAAAAAATCATGTCTTTGAAAGTTCAAAAAAGGTGGAGAATATTTGACTGTAAGTCAATTGGATCGAAATAGATACTATCGCCGTACTATACATGTTATTCGAAAGTGGAAAGCTAGAAATCCTAAAGAAAAAAAATTATTTGTGAGAGTTAAGTTTTTATTACTTGATGGAAATGTTATTAACATATTATATTGATATTTATTATATAAATATGTATATAATCATAGATTAACATTAAATTTTTACATTTGTTTGAATCAGGAAAACACAATTCAAGGACAAATAGAAAAAAAAATAGCAATTTAGAAAAAATGTTACATCCATTAGGAAAATGAAAAAGAAAACATATTCCCAATACGAAAAGGAATAAATCAAAAATCAGAAAAAAACATGAAGCAAAAAAAAAAAACAATTGTTACACCCATTAAAAAAATGTGAAAAAACATATTCCCATTAAGAAAAGGAAAAAAAAAAAATATATATAATAAGTTATAGCCTTCATGATTTATATGTGTAATTCTATCTTTTGTTTAAACTTTATCTTTTATTACAAAATAGAAAATCATATATTTTAATGTTCAAGATATCAATAAAGAATATTTAACTTTAGATCAGTTGGGTTGAAATTGAAATTTTTGTTGCACCATTTTTCTATTATATGATCATGTGATAACATGTGTTAACAAAAGAAAATTATAAAAATAT